ATTTGTGTAGTATCTTTTTAAGTGGGAAGGAGGTGAGTACAACTATGGAGTGGCACTGGAAGTACGGCCTGAACTTCCTTGATTCGTGGATGAGGGCGAGGGCCAGTTTCTCCAACTGACTATACCGCTTTCTGCGTCGAGGAGTGATTTACTTACATAGTAGACCGGTAGCTGCTTCGTCTCTTCTTCCCGAACCAGTACTGCTGAAATTGCTGTCTCTAAGACCGCTAGGTAAGAGTAAAGCTTATCCCAGTCCACAGGTTTGGAAAGGAGTGGAGGGGAGGTCAAGTACCTTTTTAGTTGTTGCAGGGCTTCTTCGCAGGAGGGATTCCACTCGAACTTCTTGGACTTCTTGAGGGCATGGAAGAAGAGATGGCACTTGTCGACGGATCTGGAGATGAATCGGCTCAAGGCGGCCACTCGTCCTGCCAGGCGTTGGACGTCTTTGATGCAAGCCAGAGATGGTATATTGAGGATTACTCTGATCTGGTCGGGGTTGGCTTCTATCCCTCGTTGAGTCACCATATAGCCTAAGAACTTTCCTGACGAGACGCCGAATGAGCATTTGGCTGGATTTAACTTCATGTTATACTTCCTGAGGATGGCGAATGCCTAGCTGAGGTGGTCAAGGTATTGTTCGGCCATCTTTGACTTGATGAGCATGTCATCGATGTAAACCTCCATGGTGTCTCCGAGGTGCTCGGCAAACATCTTGTTGATTAGCCACTGGTAGGTGGCCCCAGCGTTCTTAAGATCGAATGGCATTACCTTGTAGTAATAGGTTCCCCTTTCTGTGATGAAGGCTGTCTTCTCTTGGTCATCCAGATGCATCAAGATCTGGTTGTACCCTGAGAAAGCATCCATGAAACTAAGGAGCTCGTGGCCTGCGGTCACATTAACCATCATGTCAATATGTGGGAGCGGGAAGGAATCCTTGGGGCATGTTTTGTTCAAGTCCGTAAAGTTGATGCATACTCTCCACTTTCCGTTCTTCTTCTTTACGACCACGACGTTTGCCAGCCATTCGGGGTAGTGGACCTCTCTGATCATACCATTGATCAGGAGCTTTTCTATCTCTTCATTGATGATCCGGTTGCGCTCTGGTGCAAATTTCCTTCTCCTCTGCTTCACTAGTGGGTGATCCGGATCTACCTTGAGTTGGTGGACCATTGCCTCTAGACTGATTCCGGTCATGTCGGCATGGGACTAGGCGAAACAGTCTTGGTTCTGTCAAAGGAATTCAATCAGCTTCTCTCTTGTCTCGGGGTTAAGGCGGAAACCTATTTTGGTCTTTCTCTCGGGGTCGTCCAGATGTATCTGTACTTCATCCAACTCCTCTATAGATGGTTAGTCCGGCTCGGTCGGAGGGGTTGGATGGGACTGTAATTGCTATGAAGTGTTACCTTTACCCTTGAAGGCATTCTTGTAGCAATCTCTGGAAGCTTTAGGGTCTCCCTTGATCTCTTGTACTCCCCATTTGGCAGGAAACCTGATCATCTGATGGAAAGTGGATGGGACTGCTCGTATGTCATGTATCCAGGGCCGGCCCAAGATAATGTTGTAGGGTGAGGGGCAGTCGATTACCAGAAAAACGGTCTATTTGTTCACTCCGCCGGCGTAGATAGGAAGGATGATCTCCCCGATAGTGTACTTCTGCTTAGAGCTGAACCCAACCAATAGTGTCAGCCGCCTGTTGATGTTTGTTTCTTCCAGTCCCATAGCCTTCACTGCTTCGAGGAATAGGATGTTTGTCGAAGAGTCTCCATCTACAAACACTCTCTTCCCTAGGATGTTGGTCATCTGCAGGGAGACAACTAGAGCATCGTGATGAGGAGCGGCCAAGGTGACCGGTTCATCATCTTTAAATTGAATTACCTGATGAGTGTGTGACCATGAGACATGATGGATGGACTGAACTTCGTGGTGATGGTTGGCTCTAGCATATCGTTTGGCTAATGAGTAACTTACTCCACTGATCTCCGATCCTCCGAAGATGAGCGAAAAAGCCTTTTCGGTGTGGGTTCCCGCGGAGGTGGTGATGGTTATTTTGAGCTTCTTTGGCTAATGGTGTTCTTCCCCTTATCTGTTAGCAGATCTCGGAGGTGTCCCCTCTTCAGAAGTGCAATGACCTCTAGCCGTAATGCGATGCAGTCTGCAGTGTTATGTCCGTGGTTGCCGTGAAACTTGCACCACTTGGTCATGTCTCTCTTTGCCTCGGGATTGAGCTTGCCCGGCCACTTAACGGTAGATTCCATTCGTTTCATAATCGCGATGACCTGGGTCGGTTCGACGTTGAGGTTATACTCCGGTATTTTGTACCGGTTCAATCCGAACTGTCTACTTTCGGTTCTTGTTGGCTGGTGATCATACGGTTTTTTAACTCTACTCGTATTGCGCGGTAGGGGTTGGTAGCGGTGCTCCACTGGTCTATGCTTTGGCTTCCTGTCATTCCGTCTCAAGTCGTATCTAGAGTGAATTGCTCAATTTATCTCATCTTCCTCCTATCTTTTTTAGATCACTGCCCGGGCCAGGGCATCTTCCATTGTGGTGCAGCCCAACTTTATAAGTTCTTTGTATAGTTCTCCGTCCGGGAGGAGACCCTTCCTAAAGGCATCCACGACTGTCTCGGGGTTACATGCAGGGATGAAGATCTTCTCTTTGTTGAACCTGCTGACATATTCTCTCAATGGCTCTCCCCTTCTCTGGTATATTCTGTATAGGTCGGTCGACAGCTTCTCGAGTTTCTTGCTGCTGGCGAACTGTTCCACAAAGGTGTCGGTGAGCTGAGCGAATGAGTCGATGGATCCATTCGAGAGATTCGTGTACCATTGGAGTGCCGGGTTGGATAAGCTCGAACCAAAACTTTTGCACATGCAGGCTTCCCTCAGCGGTCGAGGTATTAAGACAGTGAACATCCGCTGTTTGTACGAGGCTATGTGATCGTCCAGGTCGGTTGTGCCATCGTACAGCTTCATGTTGGGGATGGTGAACTTCTGGGGCATATCGGCTAAGGCGATCTCATCCACAAAGGGTGAATCCGCGTAGCAGTGAGGCCTACTCTTCTTGGTTGGGACTGGCATTCCTGGGATGCGTCTCATGACTGCCTCCACGTCGGCCAGCCTCTTAGCCAGTACTTGTTCCATAGGAGAAGGGGATACTACTAGGTCATCCGGTCTGACTGGGTCTGCCATTGCATTCGTCTTCGACACATTCCGTTGGGTCATCCCTCGCGGGGTAGTTTGATGGGTCATTCCTTCTTACACTCCCTGGTAGCATGGATCTTCGTTCATTCCTTCTGGTTGGATGACTCCCATGGTGACTGTTCTGTTGTTTCGCCCTACACGAATGGTTAAGGGAGTCGTCTGATAGTCACTCAGACCGCCAGGATGGATGGGCTCGAGTGCTGTGGTTTGTTTGGTTTGGTCGTTCATCCCGTGGGGGTGAGCTGAGCCGAATAGGGTTTGTGTCAGGGTGGTTGACTGGGGATGAGGTGGGACGGTGAGAATGGGCTGGTTTTGCGGGTGCGGGCTTTCTGTCACTAGATCGTCTTGATCTCGAGGCTGGGATGGATCGGCTGAATGGTGTTTTGTTGGCATATCTTTATCTCCATATGTCAGGACAGAATTGTCGGCTGCCGATGAGCTTAATGGACGCGGCCTTTTACCGGAGACCGAGGGTCGATGCTCTGGTGTGTGGAGAGGTTGCATAGATGGAACAGGGGTGCGGAACCGATTGGGCGGTACCTGACCAGGCAGAAACTCTAGATCATAGAATTGACTCACCTTCTCTTTAAGAGACTGGTTTTCTGCCCAGATGGATGCGTTTTCGGTCTGGATTGCATTGTTCTCGGCTTTCAGTACGGCTACCTTGTCTGAATTTTGTTGCATGAGAGCGGTCAAAGCCTCCAGTATGGCCTCGAGGTCAGGGTTAGCATTGTCCGAATTGTTAGCCATGGAATGTTCCTCTACGTAGCAAGGTTCGTCGAGCCAAATGATTGCTAGAGGCCCCACGGTGGGCGCCAAACTGTAGACGTAAAAATCTACCTGTATGGAAGAGGGGTATGATCTCGTGAGGTTGAGGCCACTAGCGATCGGCTGCACCTGCACACATAGAGAAACAAAGGCCTGAAGCGAACGGGAAACACCGGGGTGGTGTTTACCGTAGGTACTCTGACGCTCAAGTCAACAAGGCTGAAAGAGACTAGTATAGTGAGGGTTAGGGAGTAAAGAGGTTACCGGAAGTCTAGTTAGGGACTGTGACTACGGCAGTGATGTGAGGCTCTCAATTCATAGCTTCGGGTGTAAAGGTGTAATGTAATGTCCCTTGTGAGAGGGTTGGCCTCTGTTTATATAGTGACTGTCTGGTCTCCCAATCCTGGTAGGAGTAGGAGTCCTCGTGTGACTTTGATACAAACCCTAGAAGAGTTAGGGCGGTGGTGAGTTGTCTTACCAGCGTTCGAATAGGAAGGTGATCTGAACATGAAAGTGACTTCGAATAGGAGATTGATCAGGAACAAGCAAGTGATCAGTGGGGGCCATGGGCTCTGAACTCGCCTATAAGCCCAGGAAGTGAGCTAGAACTGGGAAGCTCATGCCCAGATAGTTTGGTTAGGCTGTATCTCGAATCTAATGGGACTAATTTGGCTTGGGCCTGCTTTCTTTCTCACTATCGGTCCTGTTTCCCCTATTTGGGCCAAAAACGATTTTTGGCCCTAACACCTATCCAATAGTAATAAAAATCTAACAATTTTATAATATTTATCGTGTAAAAGATGTTGAACTATAACTATTGAATAAGTTAATGTTACGAGATTCGAGTTTCTTTAATCGTCTGATAAAACAGTACACAACAACCGCCAAACACAAAGTTTCACGGGAAGCAATGCTTAAAGTTAAAGAATTCAGGCTGGTAGGTCCATTATATAATAGGCCGTTTATTCTAAGGCCCAGTCCACAAAATCAGACAACCGGGATTAATTATTACTTGCTCGCACGTAGGATGCGAATCTCCGCGGCTTCTCGATTCTTCCACGGCTCGACTGGCACATGACTTCTCTCTTTTTTTAGTCTCCTTCCCCTTTCCTTTCCTTCTTACAACACAAATTAACAATTCTCTCTCTGTTCCATCACAGGAGAATTGTCAGGGCTTTTCTGCTCTTGCTGTTCTCTGAATAGCATAATCATTAATGTCTCATATCCTTTGATCGATCCGTTTGTTTCCTCTTCTCTCATCTTTTTAGTTTGTTTTTAATCTGATTGTTCGACCAATCAAATGCCTTTTTCTTTTTTAATTTCTTTTAAAATTTTGTTTTTGTGATATTATGTTTGTTTCATTGTTTGGCTTTAACTGAAGCGAACGCGGTAACCAGAGAGATCGAGACCGTGAAAGGGCTCAAGCCCGAGTGGGTCACAAGGGTAAGCAGCCCAGAGACGACGGTTTGACTCCTGAGCAACGCCGTGAGAGGTTCTTATTGTTTTCTTAAGCAAGTTATTTTTATTTTTTGCTTGAATCTCTTATTTGATTTTAAAATTTAATAATTCACAGAGATGCGAAAGCATTGCAAGAGAAGGCGGCTAGAAAGGCGGCGCAGGCAGCTGGGGGAGGGATCAATGCAGGCGGTGGTGGAGTGAAAGCCAATAAGAAGTAACTGTGAAAAAGGGGGGCGTAGGTAGTTAGAATGGAAGTTGTTGTACTGGATCAGATCTGGGTTTGTGGAATTGGGAGTTAGATGTTTTTTGTTATTTTAACTTCTGAACTGTTTGATTTGTGTATGATTTGGAATGCAATTCCTATTTTTGTGCACTCGGTTTCTTTTTTTTCCTTCTCTTTAATCAATCGAAATAAGCAATTTATTCCTTATTTAAAAATCTAAATCATTCCAAAAATACAAATATTAATTAAAAATGTACCTGGATATCTGTTTGGTTGAAATTATGGAACTAAATCATCAAAGCTCTTAATTAATAGCGTAGATCTAGCAGATACTCCTGTATTTTTGTAAGCCTTAAATGATGCTGGTAAGGTAACCAACCAGAAATCAATAACAAAGTAAGCATCATTGAATGAGTAATCATGTGAAGGCCACTGCTGGAGAGGAAATTTGTTTTGTCGGTTTCCTTTCTCATGCAGGCTTTATCTTGGTGTTTAAAGGGGTTAATATAATTGTGAAGTATTGTTAGACTGCTACTATAGATTTAAGTAAGGTTAAACTTTAAAAAAAATAAAAAAATATATTATTATTATTTTTTTTTTTTTTAAAGTTCGAGTAAGTCTAATATAAATTTAAATGAGTCAAAATTGTAAATACTATAAAATATAAAACATTTTTTTATTTGTTTTCAAAGTTTAAATTGGTTCAGTTGAACTCACATGTTATAGTTTAGCTATGTCATTATATTTGGTTCCTATTCTACGTCTGTATGCTCACATCAAAAATGGATGTGGAAGAATTTATGGAACCTAAATGAGAAATAAAAAATTTAAATTAATAATTAATTATGGGTATTTGAATTTCCATAAAGTCAGTTGGATGTGTTAAAAGTTAAAACATGACAAAGGAAGTGAAAATATGGCCCAATACCCCTAGCTCCATCAAACACAAAGTCCAGATTCCACAGTTTTTTTTAATCAATCAAGCCAACACCAATTTCGGTTAACGAGATGAATAGATGAGGGACCTCTTAATTGATTTATGAATAATCCAATAGGTAAGTCATTTGGAAGTAGTGGATAAATTGTAGTACTTTGAATGGCGTGTTGAATAGCTTTTATATCCGGCCCAAGTATTTCAGTTTAGTTTATCCAAAAAGCCCAGAAGAAATAGGCCTCACAACACAAGTTCATAAAATTAGACAGTTTTCAAATTTCTGGTTCTAGACTTCCATGTTGAGCAAACAGGAAATATCCACATGGCCTCCCTCTCCAGCTCCAACAATCCACACCCACCGGCGTTTAACCGGAGACCCATGAATAACATAAAACCCGTTCAAAGAACGTCCATACCCCTTCCCATATCCAAACCCGAAATTGAACAACCACTTTCTATCTCTTCTAACAACGCCATTACAGAGCAAAACCAAAGAAGAGGAACACTAGATTTGAAGAAGTTGAAGGAAAGAGAGGCAAGAGAAAGAAAAGAGGAAGTGAACAGGAAAATAGCCTCAAAGAAAGCGGTATCAGTCATACTACGAAGAGAGGCAACCAAGGCAATTATTGATAAGAAGAGAGGAAAAATTAATTCCAAAAGGCTCTTACCAAGGACTGTTCTTGAAGCTCTTCATGAGAGAATTACTGCTCTGCGTTGGGAGTCTGCTCTCAAGGTTTTCTCTTTTTGCTTAATATCAATTTTACTTTTTCAGAAACGGGTTTGTCTTTTTTTTTAATAACTTTTTGCTTCCAAAGTTGTCATTTAGATATAGCCTTGACTTCAGTTACCATGAAATGGTTTAATTGGGTTAGTGAATTAGTAGAATTTATGATTTTTTTATTAATTTTCTTTTTATCAAGGTTATTCAATTATGGTGAAATTTTTTGTGATTTGGTTGAATTGAGTTTGGACGAGTATTTAGGATCAGTGTGCCAATTTGTGGATTAGGGAAATTACGATGCTGCTGCATTATCAGAATAGTCAGTGGGCTTTACAAAAATACATTATTTGTTTGCCATGTTTTGGTGATTCCTGTTTATTCAGTTTTGAGATTTCTTGCCTGACTGCTGGAATATTATACTTTATTGTAATTATTTGGGCAATTTGATTCTCTGAAGTGGAAGAATTCTATGATTTTTTTAGTGTGTCATGTCATGGTTGTGCTAACTTTTTTGGTTATCAGGTTTTTGAACTACTGCGTGAGCAGCTCTGGTACCAACCTAACTCTGGTGTATACATCAAGCTAATTGTCATGCTAGGGAAATGTAAGCAACCTGAAAAAGCCCATGAGCTCTTTCAAGCCATGGTTGATGAAGGCTGTGTTGTGGACCATCAATCTTATACTGCTCTGTTGTCTGCATATGGTAGGAGTGGTCGCTTTGATAAAGCATTTTTCCTCCTTGAGCAGATGAAGAGCACTCCTGACTGTCATCCGGATGTCAACACATACTCTATCCTCATTAAATCATGCCTGCAGGTTTCTGCCTTTGATAAGGCGCAAGCTTTGCTTTCTGACATGACAACTCAGGGAATCAGACCCAACACCGTCACATACAACACCCTCATTGATGCCTATGGGAAAGCTAAAATGTAGATCTTTCCCCAATTGTTTTGCAATTTTGAATGCTCTTTCTTGTTGCTGAGAATATAATGGGATGGATTTGGTGTTGCATCATAACTTTGACATGAACTGATTCTCTCTGTATACAGATTATATTTCTTATATGATAAGGTGGATGAATTGGACCCATCACTTCTGCTTTTTCCATCAACTACCCATATCTATACTGATCCCAGCCCAACTTATCTCATGTAGTGATTACCTTTTTTGCTACAATAGAATAGTTTTATTCATTTTTTCCAATTTAATTGAAATGGGAAAAAAATAATTGTTTTAGTCTTCTTTCTCTTTTCTTGTGTGTTTTTGGCGACTAGATGGAGCACGGTGTTGTAAATATATGAGATAAACGTAACTCATTCTTTCTATTTCCTGAAAGGTTTGCAGAGATGGAATCCACACTTGTGAAGATGCTTGGTGAGGAATGCGAGCCTGATGTTTGGACCATGAACTCCACACTCAGAGCCTTTGGCAACAGTGGTCAGATAGAGACCATGGAGAAATGTTATGAGAAGTTCCAGCGAGCTGGGATTGAACCCAGCATCAGTACTTTCAATATACTTCTTGATTCATATGGAAAAGCTGCTAAATATGAGAAAATGAGTGCTGTCATGGAGTACATGCAGAAATACCATTATTCATGGACCATTGTAACCTACAACATTGTGATAGATGCATTTGGCAGGGCTGGGGATTTGAAACAGATGGAATATTTATTTAGGCTAATGCGATCAGAGAGAATCAAACCGAGTTGTGTCACATTTTGCTCTCTTGTAAGGGCTTATGGAAAAGCCAGAAAACCTGAAAAAATTGGGGGTGTCCTGCGGTTTATTGAGAATTCAGATGTAATGTTGGATACTGTCTTTTTTAATTGTCTGGTTGATGCTTATGGGAGGCTGGGACTCTTGGCAGAGATGAAAGGAGTAATTGAGATGATGGAGCTGAGAGGATGTAAGCCCGATAAGATTACTTATAGAACCATGGTTAAAGCATATTCAATCAATGGGATGACTAGCCATGTGAAGGAGACCAAAGATCTTGTTGAGTCAGCAGAAGAGACTCGTTTGGGGATGAATAAGCCGGATTTCTGAGATGAAGAATTTTCACTGGTCAAACATCTCTGAGATCTTATGTAGATTTTATGCTTGTTAGTTGTATTCTTTGTGTGTATGACAACACAGATAAACAAAATGTAATATGAAGCATTGATGCATACATTTATTGGGTTAATGAAGTAACCATGTCATTTGAATTTTTCATTTTGAAAGGTGTGTACTAATCCCCCATTTCCACCTTACTAAACTCAATTAAGAAATTGAAAGAACTAGATAAGGAAGTCTCTTCTTCCAATTAGCCATCCTTTGATCATCTTGTATATAATTATTGCTGTGTTTTATGTCACTATTGTGCACAGCCTCTTGATTCATCGCCTTGTTTCTTCCTATGCCACCCACCCTGGAGGTATAGTTCTTTTATGAGCCAATGATACACAGATTTGAAGAGATCAAGCATCAACATACGGATAGTATCCAAATAATTAGCATTTATTTTGTGAGGAAGATTTCAGAACCTGTAGGATTGACCACAAAAACGGTATATGGATATTTTCAGTTTTCAAGCTTATTCTTATTCAGGTGTGTACTGTTTTTAGTAACCTCCAAAATCGAAGTTTCTAACTTTTACAGGGAGGCTGCTACAACCCCTAGTGACGAATTTTCTTGACATTGAAGTCCAAAGCATTCCTTGAAAGTGCAGAATTTGCTTCATATAAAATTTCAATATTGTCTTTATATTTGCGTGTTGTTACTCACTCCTCTTCCTGCATAGAAAGTTTCAAAACGGATAAACCATTTATATAAATTTCATGACCGGGTTCTTGTTGAGAGTTAATGTACGGAAACAATATAATTTCACGTATGCCGAACTTATTTCCACAAACATTTTTCATATGCTCCAAAATGCCAGATGGTCATTGGCGAAATTATTTTCATTTAAGCTCGTGATTTGAAATGACCTAAAAAAATATTGAAAAATAAGTTGGCTGCGTTTGTTTCGGTATTTTACCACTATCGTGTTTCTGTTCCAAACACAAATGTATATTTTTTTCTCTATTTTTCAAAATCATATCCTAAATTAAGAAATTATTTAAACCCCTTAAGTTTGTTAATTAGCAAAAACACCCCTAAGAAAAAAATTTATAAATTGACAAAAACACATTCACCCACCCATAGTTGCCAGATTCTGGCAACCACTGTCGGTGTTGCCCGGAATCTGTCACAACAGCGCACTACTGGTAGGAACTGGTCGGTAATGCGCCAATCTGACCTTTTCCGGCCAGATCCGACTGGTCGTGCGCCGTAACGCCAGATTCTGGCTGTGGTGGCCGAAATCTGGCAACTGTAGGTAGATGGGGGTGTTTTTATTATTTTACAAAATTTTTATATATTGGGGCATTTAGTTAAATTAGCAAACCTATGGGGTTTTTTTGTTAATTTTTAAATTCTACCTCATAATAATCTCCTAACTCTACCTACCAATAATATTCCAAAAATAATAATACTACAGACACCGGGATTCTGCACCGAATTATGTGTCACGTAACTCAGACCAGCCACGTGTCCCATTAACAAATATTTTGCGAGTAAACGATCGTTCATCAACTATAGATGGTCATTCACTGTTATTGGACGGGGGTCCATTATATGTGGATGCCCGTCCATGCGAAATGAATGATGGACTTCCGTCCATATAATATGGACAGGAGTCAATTTACTATGGACGAGGGTCCACATATAATGGACGTCTGTCCATGCTTTAAAAAAAATGGAATTGTATATAAAAAACTTTACTATGAATTCTTTTGTCACTACTCTGGAAAGGTTGACAAGCTTGAGAGTTCTTAGTTTGGTGTCTTTGGGAATTTAGGGTCCACTTATAGACAAAATTCATCGATTGTTTGTAAGTGTGTTCAAAAAAATGTAAAAACTGAACCGAACCGAAAAAACGGTTTAGTTATGGTTCAATAAATTCAAAAAACCGGATTTTTCGGTTCGGTTGGCGGTTCGGGAAAAAATCAAAACCGGTTTTTTGAACCGGTTTATATATATATTTATATTATATATTAAATAAAAATACAAATAAAAATAAATATTATATATTAAATAAAATAATAATAATTTAAACTAAATCCCTAAAAAAATTGTTAGTAGTAGTCAATGGATATGTATGAATGTTTAATTTTTTTTTGGATATGTATTATTTATGTTTACAATTTAATTTAGGAAAAAAAAAATTTTCAAATAAAAAAGGGGAAAACTAGTTAACCACTTTTTTTAAAGCGGTTAATCGAAAAATCGGTTTTCTCCCAAATCGATTCGGTTAAAAAAAGTGGTTAACCAGTTTGGTTAACCGCATTTGAACACCCCTAACTGTTTACACTTGAATACTTGGACTTGGGTTCCAATTATCTTTTTGGTTCAGTTCCTCCTAAGATCTCTGCAATGGTGGAGCTTCAAACTCTTAAGTTGGATGACAATTTCTTCAATGATACAATCCCCAATTGGTTTGATTCTCTCTCAAATATGACATTTCTAAGCTTGAGAAATAACAGATTAAAGGGTTCATTTCGATCTTCAATAAGGCATATCACCACTCTCACTGATCTTGTTTTATCTGTGAATGAAATATCTGGGAGATTACCGGATCTCAATGGCCTAAGTAGCTTAAATGTGCTGGACTTGAGGTAAAAAAAATCAGATTTTGATCTACCTGCGTTGCCAAGAGGAATGGTCATGGCCTTTCTCAGTAACAACTCCTTCTCAAGTGAGATTCCAAAGCAATATAGCAAGCTAAACCAAACACAACACCTAGACTTGTCATCCAATCTACTGGAAGGAATGCTTCCGGGTCTACTTTTCTCATTGCCAAACATCAGTTACTTGAATTTGGCATCAAACATGCTGAGTGAGGGTGCCCGTCCACTGAATAATGGACGAGTGTCCATTATATGTGAACGCCCATATATAGACGAGAGTCCATTAACTATGGACAGTCGTTCACATATAATGGACTCTTGTCCAATAACAATGAATAACTGTCTATAGTTGATGAACGATCATTCATTCGTAAAATATTTATTAATAGGATATATGGTTGGTCTGAATCAGGTGACACATAATTTGATGTAAAAAATTCAGTACATAGTCGTGGTGTCTGCGTAGCGTTATTGTTTTAAAAATACTATTTACAAAAAAAAAAAAAAAAAGAGGTGTGTTTTTAAATAGCGATTAAGATGCAAACAAATAAAAAACCAATAATTTATCCCAGAATGTTATTGTGTATCCCGAGAAAATCCTGATATTGATCTACAATTCATATTATCGTCCTTTGTTGTTTCTATCATAAAAAGAAGTGCCTATTTTAGTGCAATATGCAGCCGAGATTGTGAGCTTCTATTATACATGTAACTATAAGACCCATCAATCTTAATGATATAATTTTGTCGCTCTATGTATTGATATGATTACTGTTGTTTTTCAATTATAAAAATAACAGCAGTGTGTTAATATACTTATATATAAAACAAAAATATAAATAATTTAAAACAGAATAAAAAAATAGCAACAAATGCAAATTGACTGGTCCAGGATGATTTGATTTTGATTCATGGTCGTGTTTTTTTGGTGAGTAATGTTACAGTTGTTGGGAATAGTACATCAAATTTGTACACAGAATGACGTGACGAAATCATAACAATTAATTAATATTAAATTATAATTAATCGATGGTTAGGGTTTCATCACATAATTCAGTACACGATTTGATGCATTGCTTCTGATGTCTCTATTATTTTTCTTTTTTTGGTATCAATCAAAATGAAAGGCTGGCACTGGGCAGTGGCCTAGTCGTGCATGATGCATGTGCATCCATTCCATCCCACACGTTAGAAGCTTCCTTAACTTGGTTCCTGCTCTAATTAATTAGGTCAAAAATCAATTGCCAAACCAAACACCCGACTCTGATTAACGCCGCTATTCTGGTTGTTTAAAATGTGTAAAGCCAACTATAAGCATGAGTTTGAGAATTGACATAAAAATTAACCACGTTGGCGGATTTTGATTGCGACAAAACAACACCATAAATACCGCTCTTGGTTTAATGTAATTTATTAAATAGCGTACTAATAAATAATTATTGATTTCATACAATTACACATCAGACTTTATAATTACTTTTCTTAATATGAAGTTTTACTTCTTTAACCAAATTTTCAAATATTAATCCAATTTTGATTTATTAATTAGAATGATAAATATTAATTAATTTCCAAAATTTCAAATAAAATTAAAGTAGGATATGGCCCGCTACTTTATAGTGTTCATCTTCCCCCTGGTGAATAACAAGAAAAGAGGCCCAAAATGGACCAAATTCTCTAAAGCCCTCTTCTTCGTCTTCTTCCCAAACCCAGCCCATAATCACTCGCGCAGAGAGAGACAGACCTCGCATGCTGCTCTCGAAACAAAAACCATACCCAGACACAGAGAGAGAGAGAGGGAGAGAGAGAGAGAGAGAGAGAGAGAGAGAGAACAGAAACGAAATTCCAAAAGACTTAGAAATTACAAATACAAAATCATTTGTATTGTAGAGAAACTCAGCACCACGTTGTTCTCATCATGGCTTACATTTGCAACGACGTGTTGTGTTTTAGGGCAAATTCCTGTCGTTTCTGATTTTTATTTTGAAAACCCTAGGTGAGAGGGAAGTGTGTTTGGCTTCTCACGTCCACTTACTGCTCTGCCCTAGCAACAATTTTTGTCCTTAAGCTATCAATTCAGGTGATTTTTCTTCTAATTTCGTGTGATTTTAGAAACCCTAGAATCTACTTACGTGCAATTTTGTGCATTTTGCTTAATTCAATGCGTTTAGGGTTTGCTTCGGTGGTCAATGGATTCGAATTCGTTTGTGGGACGTATTTTTGATTGAATGCTTGTTAGTTTAAGTGCATGCTTTCGTTTACGTAGAGTTTAATGCTAAATTTTGTTCTGCATACATGGGGAAACATGTTAGATGTGTTTTTGTTGGTAAGCAAGTGTTGTTTTACTTTCTTGTGGATATTTTGAAGGTTCCCATAAGAGAATTTGAGGAGAATTGTTCGTGCTGAGCATCTTACAGGATTTGCTGCTTATTACTTGCATCTATTTACTATGAAGTGTATGTAGTTGTGCAATCATTAATTGCTATTATTTCACATTGCTTTGAGTGCTCTCATTTATGATTCAAAAATGCATTTCCTTTGTTGAATTTCCACTTTTGAATTTGACTTCTATGTTTAGTTACAGCATTTAGTTTGGTGCTTAAGACTTTTCTTGGTCATCAAGTTTTATGCTATTTTCTAAGCATTGCAATAACTATCTGATGATAACTGTGCTGCCACTGTCCTTTAGTACTTTATGTCTGAGGTTGACCACTGGCATATGTCTTTAGGTTTTTATAGTTGAATGAGAACTAAATTTAAGCTCAATAATAATTGAAAAGAGATGTTAAATTCTTCTGTGCATACAGCAATGGGAAATGTTGTGTAAAAGGGGGTTAGAAACTTAAAGCTGAAAGGCTCTTAATGTCTTATATTTGATTTTAGATTATTTGTATCTTATTTTATTGCCATGAAATAAAGAAACAACTATGGGCAACACCCTCTCTTCGCATGAGGTTTCGATCATTTTTATTTTTTTATTTTTCTTTACATATTGAAACTTAGTTATGCAGTTATCAATAGGTGTGGCATAGTAATGCAACCTTTGTTTTCTTAAGCATACTTCTTTAATACATTGGGTTATCTTTTAGCTAACTTACAGGGTTTTCCAATAGGTTTGCTTGGAAATTTGACAAATATGTATTTAACTTTGATATGAGAAACCCTTTTTATGTAATTGATATTGAGAAAGCTTTTATGAAGATTGTTTAACATGTTATTAGTGCTTCTTTCTTTTGAAATTTTACTGTATGAACCTTCAGATGTGTTTGCTTTGCTTGGAGTTGAATACATTGATCTATGTCAATTTATTCAAGATAGATTAATTGACACGGTGTTGCTGGATGATTTTTTTTTATACTTTTAATACAAATTTTATTTATGTTTATTGTTGTCCATTCTTTACTTGGAATTTAGAATTAGAGTAATACTACACTTACAAAGAAATTTTACAAAGATCTCCATACAAAGTGATGTGGCAAAAAATGAATGGAAGAGTAAATTTAATGAGTTTGACTTTTTGTTTCACTCTTCCATTTATATTTTGCCACCTTACTTTGTATGGAAATCTTTGTAAGATTTATTTGTAAGTATAATATTATTGTTAGAACTATGTAATATGATGCTCCCTATATTAGATGCTTTTAACAATGCTTTTAATTCTGATTTCCTTTTACGTTTATCAAGTTCCATGGTTTAACTTGTTAGTCAATGTTCTCTTTCCAATTATGTGAACTTCTCTTGAATCATCAGTTAAGGAGAGTCAACCCTATGGGTTGCATTGATGGATTAGGAGCCCTACTTTCAATCAAAGAGGGCAAGGGTTCAACTCCTCTTGGGGCCTTCCACTTGGGAAAATATATCTCATGAATCTCATGACTACTAAAGTTATAGGGTTTGGATAGCAACCAGTCTAGAATTCAGTAAATCCATAAGATAGGTGAAGGAGTTTTTGTTTATGAAAAATAAAAAGTTAAAGGAGGAGGCTGAAGTTTATTATGCTCATGAAACTGTCGACTTTTCAATATTCTGTAGCTGATAAATTTGTTAGTTGATTTATGGAGAAATTTATTTTTGTTATTACAATTATTCTTTCTCAAGCCTGTCCTTCATTCGTACGATACTTTTCTTACAGTCTTCTTTTTTTTTTTTTTTGGGTTCAGGAAATTGTAACCTTTTGGAATTGATGGGAAAGGCGGGCTTGTAGGTATCAAGGTAGGGATGCATGGATGTGGATCAGGAACTGCTATCCTAGTAAATGCTGAGGTTGATTCCATGGGAGGAGTTGTTGACGGCGGAGTAGGTATTGGTGTCAAAACCTCTCCGCATCGAGCTGCAATTGAGAAGGCTCAAGCAGAGCTTCGGTAACACTGCCATTTGTATTTTTGTTCCTTGTAATATATGCTTTATTAGTGTATTGTTGTCAAATGGAACGACAATGAGATTTTCTTCTGCCATTAACAGCCAGGAGTATGATGTCCGTGAAGAGAGAAGAAGAGAGCTAGAATTTCTTGAGAAAGTATGGCAGTTGGATCTTGGTCTTGCTATTTTCAAATGCTTTATTTAATTGGAAATTGTATTTATCCAACCAGAAAAAATAAAAAATATAAAAAAATTCAGTATATAAATTATTTTTTCTTGCAGGGTGGCAACCCTTTGGATTTTAAATTTGGGAATGCAGCGTCAGTTAGTGTCCAGTCAACTTCACTTACTGATCAGCAAGCAGAACATTTTGTGACCAGGTATACAGTTTTTGGCTCTGTGCATTAGCTCATATTTGTTTCACATTCTATCTAATTGAAGAGTCTTAACACTTCCCCCACCCTTTTATTGTTCTCACAGTGAAGCAAAAGGTAGTTTTGCGTTGACTGCCTCACCTCATGGTGATTCTGTAGAAAGTAGTGGTAGGCCAGGGGTTCCTACCGTTTGTGAACCCAATAGTGCTGATAATCTCTTACTTTTCGATGGTGAAAATGAGTTACTTGAAGGCGAAAGGCACTCTGTACATCCTGTTAAAAAGAACAGTATTGTTCCATCAGAACAGTCTTCCCAGATGGATGGGACTCAAAATGCTAAGGAATCTGAAGATTCTGCTATTTTCCGCCCATATGCTCGCAGGAACAGGTCTAAAATAAATCGTGACAGTGCTCGATCTAGTTCGAATGATATAGTCCAGACTCGTGCTGGGCACGGATCTTCTATAACTGTTCGTGGGGGTTCAAGGGAAGGAAAGGGATCGATATCTGATTCGAACAAACAAAAGGAGCAGCATATAATTCCTACTTCTGACCCAAAGTCAGTAACTTCCAATGGTGATGTGGTACCTAAGATTGTAACTTTCGATAATCAATTAAATATGGAGTTAGATAGCATGCAGAATCCAGCAGTATCAACAAACCCCAAAGTTAGTTTGCCTGAAGATAAGTTGGATGGTACGGCTCCCAAAAGCTTGATAAATGACCAACTTAATCAGTCTACACAAGTTGAAACTCAGCAAACTCCCAGTGAGGTGGCTGCTGGGGAGCCTAATCTTGTTGGACGAAAGGAAGAGATAGTTTCAGCAGGAGTTGAATGTCTGCATTCTGCAGCCACAGAAAAAGCTGAGAATGAAAGTTGTTCTGGTCAGCGGAATGGGTTTGGTGATCGAGATAGGGATAGGAAATTGATACCAAATGATGGCCAAAATAGCACTGCTGTAATTGGTACGAGATTAGATTCAGAATCATCTTGCACCCAGAACAGCCTAAATTTAGATGTAAATATTGATAGTGATGCATGCATTAATCCAAAAAATTCTAATGGAAATCCGATGGAACAAATGCCAGAATTGGAAGGGACAACACATTTAGCAGGATGTGAGATGACGGACAAGAATGAGATCAAGATTGTAAACAAAAGTGATGTCATGAATGCTAATCAGAACTGTGTGTATAAAAATCAGAGTGGGAACAATTCCATTGTCAAAGTTGAGGAAGAAATGAATAAAAGTAGATCAGACTTGAATGATGAGGTGAAGTGTACTTCCAAGATTGAGGGAGTGCAACAAAATGAGCATACCAACACAGATACTGATAAACCCTTGGGTAATGTGTTGGGTACTGATTCCAACTTTGACAAGGAAAACCTCTGCTTCAGCAGATCTCAGGGCACCGTGGATATCTCTATTTGTGAGCCTCCCAAGAATACTTTGACAGAGAGAAATTCTGCTGATGCCCCTGATGTGCAAACTGATTCTGGTAACTGTTTAAAGTTTGCAGATAAGGCTCATGAAGATTCAATCCTGGAAGAGGCACGGATTATAGAGGTTATTTCGTTATCTTCTCATGGACTTGAGTTCATTTTCTAAAAGTCAAAATTTGACTATAATTTTACTTTCTATTAGGAAAAAGAAAATCTTTATTTCTCTTCTGATTTACGGTCTTCTATTTGTCCTTTTTTCTTTGGTCTCAATGCTTGTATGCTCTGATATAATGTTATAAGCAGGCTAAGCGGAAGAGGATTGCTGAGTTGTCTGTGGGTACCTCGCCCTCTGAGAGTCGCCGAAAATCTCACTGGGATTTTGTCCTTGAGGAAATGGCATGGTTGGCAAATGATTTTGCGCAGGTCTGAATAAATTGTTTCTTTTCTTGTTTCTCGTAGGTCATTTTTTCTCTGATGTATTATTTATATTTGGCTGTTTCAAGTTGATTTCCATATCAGTAGTCATTACCAATCTGGCTTCTGATATCTGTTGGCAAATTTTTCTCTATTTCATTGTTTCCCATAGGAGCGGCTTTGGAAGATGACTGCTGCTGCCCAAATATGTCGTCGGGTTGCGTTTACTTCTCGGTTGAGATCTGAAGAACAAAATCAACGTTGGAAGCTCAAAAAAGTAGCTCTCACCATGGCAAAGGCTGTCATGCAGTTCTGGCATTCAGCTGAGGTGTTGCTATATAATGATGATCCAAGTGTCCAAAAAAACTGCTGGCATGGATCAACAAATATTGATGGGAATAAATTTTCTGGGGACAAGGTTGGAGAACTTGACATGTTGGTTATATACTTGAATCTTTTTCGTAGTGACTTTTGATTGATTTAATAATATGGATTATAATTACTTTTTGGCTGTTTTAAACATCAAACATTTGGCTTTAATTTATAAGCAACAAGAATATGCTATTGATATATTGTGTGGTTATGAGCAGGAACCGAGCAAAGATTTGGATCAACAGTCCCCCAGAAAAAATATTGCAGTTGCCATTCAGGGATATGCAGTAAGGTTTTTGAAACATAACAGCTCATCTGTTCCTTCTCTTCAAGCGGAAGCTCCTGCAACTCCTGATAGAATATCGGATTTGGGCATTATGGAAGTGTCTTGGGATGACCACCTTACAGAAGTATGGACCATATCTTTATATCTTGTTCATTTCATTAATAGTCTTAGTGACTGTCATTCATCTCTGTCTTTCAATCACTGCGTTAAGTGATTCGGTGAATTATCTTAGATAGGTCTTTTTGACGCACCTGCTTGAGCTTCTGTTTGTAATAGCTTCATATCCTAGAAAAGTCTTCCAAGAGGATCCTATCTATGCTCTTCTTAGCAAGTCCATTATAGTAGGCCTTCTATAGACTTAATTGGTTGATTGTTTAGGTTGAGCCAAAAGGAATTGACCTGCCAGGTGATCTGGTTGGCTGGTCTTGGGCCTGATCAAGCCCACCTCTTCTTGAAAACTGGACCACCAAATTGGTGGGTTGGTTCGGTTCGGTTTTCTACTTGAGTTAATTTGCCAGCCTGTCCATGAAGTGTTCACTACTGATTGATTTTTTTATGTTGCAGGAAAGTCTCTTCTATGCAGTTTCCTCGGGTGCAATGGAGACCTATAGAAAGTCTATTGAATCTCACTTAGCACAGTGTGAGGTAAATATGTCTGTTATTGTGTCTGTGCATGCATGCTTTGAGTCTGCTCATCCCTTCTGCACTGTGAGTAGAATATTAAAAGAATTGAGGAACAATTAAATACTGAGTTAGAACACTAAGGATATCAATAAAAGAAGGTTGAACAATAAGGAATAACATTTGCTGATGGAAAGGCTGCTCATGCAATCCACTAATAAATCTGCAATTGTCCTTCTTTCTACTGTTTAACAGACTAGCCCCTAAATATGATTTTTTTCCCCTGGCTGTTTCATAAAAGTTGGTCACTGCTAGTACGTAATTGGGTTATTTTGGTGTTTTCATTTATTTATCAAATTATTTTTCCCTCAGAAAACTGGCAGTAGCATGCAAGAGGAAGTGGACACATCTATGTATGATGCCGTGGCAGGTAATGACTGGATGTTTTGTTTGGTAAGTTCCTTGTTGATTGAACTTGTGTTTTGTGCTAATAAGTTCATATTCAAATACAGAGTTGGGCTATCATGACGTTGGATATGATGAGGATGAGGGTGAAACAAGTGCTTATTATTTGCCTGGAGCCTTTGAAGGTAGCAGGCCATCAAAGTTTCCCCAGAGGAAGCGGAAGAACTTGCCTTATGGACACAACACCGTGGGGTCCCAACAGTCCATTTTGATCGGAAAAAGGCCTGGTAATCTCAATGTTGGTTCAATTCCTACAAAACGTGTGCGCACTGCTTCCAGGCAGAGGGTTATAAGCCCGTTTAGTGCTGGAGCTGCTGGGAGTTTACAAGTGCCCACTAAAACAGATGCCTCGAGTGGGGATACTAGTTCTTATCAGGATGACCAAAGTACTTTGCATGGTGGAGCTCAGATTCAGAAAAGTGTGGAGGTTGAGTCAACTGGAGACTTTGACAGGCAGTTACCTTATGATTGTGCAGAAACATCAACTAAACCTAAGAAGAAGAAGAAAGCAAAGCATCTGGTGCGTAGGAAATCTTGTGTTAGATCACACCCTGGACTGACATATCTTAGGAAAAATATGGGCATTTGCCTCAAATCTTTTCTTTCTTTTCTGCTGGTTTAGTTGCTTCAGTTTTGTCTTTTTTATTATTATTTTTTTATTTTCATAAGTTGCCTGAATTTTATCTGGTTGCAGGGTTCAGCATATGAGCAGGGTTGGCAGCTTGATTCAACTGCCTATAATGATCAGGTAATTTTGTTCTGCTTATTGGGTAAAGTTGCTGCATAAATTATATATATGTTTCTTCTTTTCTTTGTTTTTCGTTTCCTTTTCATTGAGTGGCTTTAAACCATTCTACAAAGTTATAGATAGATGATACAAAGGTACTATTTGAAGGCTTGGTGTGATTTACAACTACCATGTTTGTGAATTCACGAATGAATTGTGCATAGCTAGGGAATAAAAGAGCCTTAGATGGGGAATCAGTTTTAGGAGGGCAAATAATCTTTGGAATTTTTTGGACTCAGCTTGACACTCATAACAGGTCTGATGTAATTTTTTTTGGAGTCAGTGAAGTCTCTGAAGGGTGGTTATCATCAGCTTTGACAGGAGGGCACTGTAATCTAATTAATGGATTTTCCTTGTCCTATGCTCTCCCTCCCCCTTTCTAAGATTGAGTTGGTTTAGCTTTCAATCTTATGAGCATCAGGATAACACAAAATTTATAAGTTTGTGAAATGGAGCAGTGTGCTTTTCATGAGAATTTTCATTTTTATTTTCTAAGATTCTGTATGACATTCCTTTTTGGTCTTCGTTTTGAGGGAGGGGAGTGTTAGCTGTCCTGCTGCTACCCAAAGTTGTATTCTAACTCTCTTATCAAATGGTCTATTAAATTCTTTAATGATGCCTTTTCACATGCAGAGGGACAATTCCAGAAAGAGATTGGAGAGTCATCATTTTGATTCTAATGGAAACATTGGTAAGGCTCTTTTTTATCCCTTAGTTTTTAGTAATTTATACCTAGTGGTTTCTTCATCTTGACATTATTTTTATGTCTTCTCTTAAGGCTTATACGGACAACATAGTGCGAAGAGGCCAAAAATAATGAAACAACCTTTGGATACTACCTTTGACAACATTACTCCAATGACTGGGTCGATCCCTTCTCCTGCGGCATCGCAAATGAGTAATATGTCCAACCCAACTAAATTCATTAAATTGATTGGTGGCCGGGATAGGGGGAGGAAAGCCAAAGCGCTGAAGGTATTACTTGGTGTCAGCCAAATGATCCTGTGCTTAATTTTTTCCCTCATGTTTTAAAATAATTTATTCTAGGAATTTGAGTGTTTAGTCTTCTCTGCAGATTTCTGCTGGGCAGCCAGGTTCTGGAAGTCCATGGTCATTATTTGAAGACCAGGTTGCTTTACCTCCTTGGTTTTGATGACAGTGTTTTTCTTTTCCTCTTAACCTTATGATCATGTACCTGAATCATTAACTGCATATGTTATATTAGGCACTGGTTGTCCTTGTGCATGATATGGGTCCTAATTGGGAGCTTGTTAGTGATGCCATCAACAGTACACTTCAGTTTAAGGTAAGCATATTTATGTTAGGATCCTATTTTACCTATCCTGACTTTATGGGCTGTCTTAAGGTGCATATTTGGTTATTGGAGATAATAGTGTTCTCCATGTGTATAGTGCAAAAAAGTTCATTAACGTTTCTTTGGTTTCTTGTTTTTCCTTAGTTTTGTGTCAATTTTACTATTTGTTCTTTTTAAAACGGTGAAGCATGATCTTTCTTTCTTTATCCCTCTATATTTGTTTTATTTATTATTGCTATATGTTTAGTGCATATTCCGCAAGCCTAAAGAATGCAAGGAGCGTCACAAGATTTTAATGGATAGAGGTGCTGGGGATGGGGCTGATAGTGCTGAAGATTCAGGATCTTCTCAGACTTATCCATCTACATTACCTGGCATACCAAAGGTCAAGATCATTTGACTCCCTCTGGCTTTCCAGCTCTGCTGAATTATACATTACTTATATTGGGTTTATGTGAGACCTTAGTACTTTTGAGCTAATCTTGCTGCATTGTTTGGTTTGTTTGCTGTATGTCATGAAGGGAAGTGCCAGGCAGTTGTTCCAACGTTTACAAGGGCCGATGGAAGAGGAAACTGTCAAGTCTCATTTTGAGAAAATTATTATAATCGGAAAAAAGCAGCATTTTCGTAAGAGTCAGGTTTGTCATGATCTGTTTTGTTTTAGTTTTAATTGTCGAGGTCTATGCAAGTTACTTGTTTTCAGAAATCTATAAGCAATTCTTCTGTATTGTCTCCTTATTTAATAAAGCCCACTTCATTTTACATCTGAAATTTGATATGCACCATACATGTGTTTACTTGCCTAGTGGTTACTTGAATCCTTTATACTGTCATGAAATTATACTTTCAAAATAAATTCCCTTTTCTATTATACAATTTTCCCTAGTATTTCCAGTAATTGCAATGACTTCGCTATCTCTTCATATTTATTTTATTTTTTTACCTAAAATCCGTTGTGGCTGAATCTCATCATTCTCTTTTTGGCCTCCCTTCTTCTTGAAGACTTTTGTGATGCAGATATCCATTTAGTAGAATATTGTAAGACAATTCAGGTTGCATTCTCCATGCATAAATGGAAAACAGACAACTGTGCAGATATCAAAAGCACAAGTTTGAAACTGAAAGCATTACATGGTTTTTACTTTGGTGTGTTCATCCTGCTTCTTTGAATATTTTCTCACATTGATTTCTGTGTATTTGTGTATCATATGAAGAATGATAACCAGGATCTGAGACAAATAGTTGCTGTACATAATTCTCATGTTCTTGCTCTTTCTCAAGTGTGCCCAAATAACCTAAGTGGAGCTGTGCTAACGTAAGTGTTGGCATATCTGGTTGTCTTTTACTTATTTATCTTCATTATTCTATGTTTTTTAAGATGATGTGATTTTCATCATTTACTTTGGATCATGCCACTAATTTTATTCTCATTAACTTGATGAAGGCCCCTTGAGCTCTGCGATGTGACTGCATCAAGCACAGATCTTCCCCTTGGGCTTCAAGGTTCTCATGCAAGTGGTTTAGCAATATCAAATCAAGGAGCTGTAGCACCTATGCTTTCCACTTCTGGGCCTAATTCTTCTTTGCAAGGATCGCCTGGTATTGTTCTTGGCAGTAACTTATCATCACCATCTGGTCCTCTCAATCCTCCTATCAGGTAGTACGCCAACATATAACTTAATTTTGTCTTAGTTATCACCTGCTAATTCTTCTATACTGGCTTTTGGGTCATTTTATTTGTTCTCAGGGATAGTAGATACAATGTTCCAAGAACGTCTCTGCCACTTGACGAGCAGCAAAGGATGCAACATTTCAATCAAATGTTATCAGGTAGGAATATGCAGCAGTCCAACTTGTCTGCTCCTGGAGCTCTTTCTGGAGCTGAACGAGGTGTCCGTATGCTTCCCAGTGGAAATGGTATGGGTGTGATGTGTGGGATGAACAGAAGCATGCCAATGACAAGGCCAGGGTTTCAAGGAATGGGCTCATCACCAATGCTGAATTCTGGGAGTATGCTTTCATCGAGTATGGTGGGGATGCCAAGCCCTGTAAATGTGCACTCTGGAGCTGGTTCTGGTCAAGGAAACCCAATGTTGAGACCTCGTGAGGCTATGCATATGATGCGAGTAAGTAATTAGTCTCACATTCTTCTCACCGCTTCTGTTATGGTTGTGTTTCTTATTGTAAAGTAATAATGAGTGAGTCTATTTAGTATAAGCAGATCCTTACTTTTAAAGTCTTTGAATATACCTATCTTACTCTTGACTTTTAAGGTCTTCGAAATATGCCTACCTTCCCTGCGATCACGGATTTTGCGTTATTGCAACAAAGTGTTTTGATGGCCTTTATCACTGGTACTAAGTTGTGTCTTTGAACAAATTGAAGGCATCAAAAGAAAGTGAGGGCCAAGAAGTGAATGAAATCAGTAATAAATTAGGGCACTATAAAACCATGGGCTCAATAAAGGATATTGCTCCAGTTAGGGGTGAATGGAGCAAAAGGTTTCATGCAGCCAATTTCAATTAGTTGGAACTACGGCTAGTGGATTTAGAGTCTCTTGGCTTGTGGTTTGAGGGTCTTGGATTATGATAAATTGTTTGGATGTTCAATATCTGAAGTCCCTATTGTTACTTGTGACTAACTGGGCCCACATTTTGATATTTCAAAGTGAAATGAGGGAGTTATTGTGCTTCTTGTACCAGAGTTCAATTTCTGGATGGTGGAACTATAAACTTATTACCTGTTGCAATGAGATGGGATGATTGGGTTGAGTTGTTACCCATCTGAAGTTAAAAAAGAGTCATAGTCATTGACATGTCTGAAATAAGATGGTGGAACTATAAATTTAGTACCTGTTGCAATGAGATGGGAAATGAGATGGTTGAACTATAAACGCAGTACCTGTTGCAGTGAGATGGGATGATTGGGTTGAGTTGTTACCTTTCTGAAGTTAGAGTTGTAGTTGTTTATTTGTCTCTGAAATGGGTATTGGACCATTTTTTTAAACCAATTTAGGACGTCCAGAACTTTTGATACTTGTAAGTTTATTCAGTTTTGTGTTTAGTTTATCCTGACGATTTATAAAGTTGGTTAGGAGTTGGAACTGGTTTATAACAACCCAATTACCGAAGTCACATCCTACTTTAGTTAGGTATATATTTCACTTCCATCTCATTCCAAATAATCTGTAGCAGATGATCATAAGGAGTATTTGCGATCAATTAAATGTTAATTGAAAACAAATGCATGCTCATATGTTCAGATGACATATGCTGTTAATCAAAACTGTTAAATGCAGCAATATATCATGTTAATAAGACATGCCATTATGATGGCAATATGATATTGTCTGCCTTAGGATGCCCAAGTAAAAATTGTTTGTTAGGCGACTATATACTGAGAATCTGCCATTAAATCGGTCAAACTGTTATATATATGAGACAACAGGTTTATGCCAAAGGTTCTATATTTCATGGCAGTCTATGCCAAATACAAAAAAAGGTTCTTTGAAAATTGAAGAAAGAATATGCAGTTCACAGTAATGTGAGGAAAGTCTGTGATCACAGTATTTGTGATCTATTGATTTTTGGTTGGAGTTGGAAATTTTAGTGATGATGACCTATATGTTCATGAATGTATTCAACAAATTGTATTATGTTAGTTAGTCTACTTTTGACTTATGTATAGACAATATTTCATCTGTTAGATAACTACATTCGTGCCAATAGCTTCAAATCTATCTGAAGGAACACTTTCACTAGGAACTTAAAAATTTTAATTTTGCCAAAGCTTTCATGCAACCACCTAACAGCACTAAGAACATTTAATTGTTTGGCAATCATGGGTTACACTATGATGCTTGGTTTGCCTCTACTTCTCACATTGCTTTTTAATAACAAGTGTTAGAGAATCTATCTCAAAATCTGTGATTGGATATGGTTTTCTTTTGTTAAATTTTCCTGATAATTTCATAACATGGAGATAATCACTAGGTTATGATGTAATGACATGTTGGCTTTGAAACATATTTGGTCGACTTATTTAGTTTAAATGATATTTGGAAGTTAAACAGTGATATGGTTTTGCATTTGTTTAGCATTGATTTAAATAATCTCTCGTTGTCTTTTAAGTTTAAGAATTTTGCTTTATTGTGGAAGGTGGTTTGGCATTTGCGGTGTTTTACTGGTGAATTGACACTTGGAATTTAAAATGTACACTGATTTTATCGCTTGCTTTATAATGCCCTTGTTTTTGTTACAATTAATGTGGTGATAGCCTGGCCACAATGCGGATCATCAAAGGCAATTGATGGTACCAGAGCTCCAGATGCAGGTCACACAAGGAAGTGGTCAAGGGCTTCCTGCTTTCAATGGGTTGAGTTCTTCTTTCTCTAATCAGACTACACCCCCGGCTGTTCAGTCATATCCAGGCCATCCTCAGCAGCAGCATCAAGCGTCCGCACAACCATCCCATGGGCTAAGCAACCATCATCCTCATCTTCAGGGTGCAAATCATGCTACTGGATCACAGCAGCAAGCCTATGCAATCCGGCTTGCTAAAGAGCGGCATTTGCAGCAGCGTTATTTGCAGCAGCAGCAACAACAGCAGCAGCAGCACCAACAGCAACAGCAGTTTGCTGCTTCAGGTGCTTTGATGCCACATGTCCAACCACAGACTCAACTTCCCATATCATCTTCTCTGCAAAGTGGTTCCCAAATTCAATCACCAACCTCATCGCAGCCTGGAACTATGCCCCCCCTTACAGCATCTTCCCCGATGACACCGATATCATTGCAGCACCAGCAGAAGCAACATTTACCTTCTCATGGGCTAAGCCGCAATCCTCAATCTGGTGCCAGTGGTTTAAACAATCAGATGGGTAAGCAACGACAACGACAGCCACCGCAGCAACAGTTTCAACAACCTGGCAGGCACCATCCTCAACAGCGACAGCATGCACAATCTCAACAGCAGGCTAAACTATTAAAGGGAATTGGAAGAGGGAATATGGTGATGCACCAGAACCTTACTGTTGATCCATCTCATCTAAATGGTTTAACTGGGGCTCCAGGTAACCAAGCTACTGAGAAAGGAGAGCAGATCATGCACTTAATGCAAGGTCAAGGTTTGTATTCTGGGTCCAGCTTAAACCCTGTTCAACCATCTAAACCATTAGTTCCTTCTCAAGCCTCTAATCACTCACAGCCACAGCAAAAGCTATATTCTGGTCCAACCACCCCTTCATCAAAGCAACTCCAGCAGATGCCTTCTCATTCTGATAATAGCCCTCAAGGCCAGGTTCAATCCGTCACTTCTGGACATACACTACCAGCTACGCATCAAACTGTTTTGCCAGCAATTATGGCTTCCAATCATCAGCATCTGCAGCTACAGCCACAGCCACAGCCACAACAAAAGCAGGTTAATCAAACTCAAACGCAAGCACCTGCTCAGAGAATGCTTCAACAGAATCGTCAACTGAATTCTGATCCGCTAAGCAAGTCTCAAATCGATCAATCTCAACCTGACCAGCAGCCTGTGAACAATGCTTCAATGATGGGTACCAGTACGACTACAGCAATGCCTCAGGTCTGTATTGATTCAGCTAATGTTGTGCCAGTTTCTTCTTCTGCTGTTACTTCTCAATGGAAAGCATCAGAACCAGTATATGATTCTGGCATGCCGAATATGGCCAATCAAGTGGGTTCCATTGGGAGTCCTCCTCTTACGAATTCAGCTGGGAGTGATGCAGTATCATCTATTAGTCAAGGTTTAGGACAGAGGCAGTTATCAGGTAGCTTGCCACCTCATGGGCATAATGCTGGGACACAGTGGCAGCACCAGTCTCAGCTACAACAGACCCCTACACTGCCAACCACATCGCAACAACACTGCCAGCCACATGAACAAGAAGTTCTGCAACAAGATCAACAGCAGTTACCCCAACAACAGCTCCCACCACAGCAGTCTCAGCAGCAGACGCAGCATCTGCAGGCAGCACAAGGCAGTTTGTATATCAGACCCACTAACACAAAATTGGAATGAAACAGTCTGTGGATTGAGCAGTTCTGAGAGCAGTCGGACCCTGCAAGAGTTGGGTTTGCATGCTGTTGTAACAGCAGTGTACAGGTAATTCTGGAATCTGGATAGTTTGATCTTAGTACATGAAATAGAATTGTGGCATTACTGGGCAATTTTTTTTACCTCTTTTCATGTATCATTTTTCACAAACATTTTTCTGCTACACATTGACTTAATTTTATCGTGTTTTAAGTTAGAGATTATTGACAGATTTGATATATGCTACTTATCTCATAAATCTTATGGAGCCTTCTTTAGTCATTGTGGACAGGCTCAGTATGTCAGAAAATGCCTGTCAGTATTTTGACATCTAGGTTTCCTCACCTTAGATTGAAAAGACTAGAGTTTGGAATTATTTACCATTTTTTTGGCCATATTGTCATGTTTTGACCATGTCGACCTTCTCTCGGTTATTTTTTTTTTTTTTTTTGTGGGGATCTACATTATCTTTGTTCAATGGTGTGAAATTAAGTAATAGATTTGTGTTTTATGCAGATGAAGCTGGTTATTTTATTGGGCAATGCAAAATGCAAAAATAGGAGATTGTCTTCTGCCGGTTCTGTCAAAAGTTCACAGGAGATGCTAGCGGGCTAATTCCTTTTTCTTTCTCTTCTTTTTCTGTTAATTTATTTTCCTGTTAATTTTGGGAATTATGTAAATTACCACTGGTTTAGAGCTTAGGGAAGGTAGAGACAAATATAGAGGTATGTGTACAGGGGTCTCATTTTCCCTTATGTTCTTTTCCCCCATTTTCCCAGGTGGGCCGTATTCGTTTTTGCCCCGGTAGATTAGTGAATGTGAATGTATTATTACCCTTTTCAGATTTAGTGGGTAGCAAGCAATCATTGATATGATATGGGCAAATGCCTTTGGAAATTTTGTGAATATAAGGTCTCTGGTCAATGGTATTAGAATTAGAATGATCAGCAAGCTTCTGTCACTGCCATGGGCGCTGGCCCCTTATTGTAATTTTCCTAGTGGATCAACCTTTTAAATGAAAGCTCTTCCATTTTTCTTCCTGTATATAACAAATGCCTGACTTATCAGTGTTTTTTTTTTTTTTGGACTGCCGTGTTTGTTTCTCTTTGTGTTTTTATAATAATTTGTAAGGTGGGTGAGAAAATATCTCATCACTTCAGGTAACTGGTTATTTAAAAGCCCAACGTGGAGAAATCACAGAAAACTTACCAAAAGAAGCAGGCAGTAATCAAAGGGTTAAGCAGTTTTGATTCTTTTGATATTCTAGTGAAGCGGTGACAAATTATTAACATTTTGCTCCGTGGAGCAATGTTTCAAAACCCAACCTGCCCTGCTGGTCGAATCGGGACCCGGCTAGTCAGTTGGGTTGGGTGAGCCTTAAACCATGGTTTTAAAACATGGATCGGCTCGGCCGGTTTAACCGGTTGGATAGGGACTCGGGGCCTTCTCTGGGTTGGGTCACTCTTTTTAACTCTTTTAAGTTTAAAGTATAACAAACACACTCCTAATTAATACGCATTAGTCCCTGAAGGTTTCAAATCTAGCAAACACACTTTCTGGCCAAATGCAAATCGACAATGACCTCCCCTTTTCCGGCGACCTTCCATCTTCCCTTACTGTCGGAAACCACCTTCTGACTTTCTCTGGCGCTGTCACGCTTTATCTCTAGCTGTCGCGTGATGTTTCGTCGTTCACCTTCGTCGCGTGATTTTTCTTCCATTTCTCGGTGTCGATCGACCTTTTCTGGCATCGACAGGCTTCCTCAGCCACCGATCTACCTTCTCCCAAGCTCCCTTGTCGTCGTTCACGAAGATCCAGTCATCTCACCAAAAAAAGCCACCACGACCATTGACTTCTACCACCGATCTGCCATTTTCTAGCGATGTCTCTACTTGCTAGTTGTCGATTCACCCTCCCAATCATCCGATCTACCCTCCCTAGTGTGTCGTCACTGCTCTCCCAATCGATCGCCGATTTGCATTTGGCCAGGGTTGTGTTTGCTAGATTTCAAACCTATAGGGTTTGATGGTATTTATCAGAGGTGTTTTTGTTAGATTTTAAACCTGTCAAACCATTGGTTCAATTGGCGGTTAGACCGGTTGAACGTGACTCGACCATCAGAGCGGGTTGCCCTCCGGTTCGGTTTTTAAAACAATGCCTTAAACTCGACATAATTAGCCTGCCTAGTTTCACCCGCTGTTGGATCGGTGTACTGTAGCACTCGTCTGTCCAACCATTATTTTTACAGAAACCAGGTCAGCTAAAATGCTAAATTAAAAAATTTAAAAAGTAAAAATATTAATTAAACCCATATTATATAAAAATTAAACATTAAACCCCATATCCCAAAGCAAATATCAAGTTATCAACGATTCCTTCTCTCCTCCCCCCCCCCCCCCCCCCCCCCCCCCCCCCCCCCCCCCCCCCCCCCCCCCCCCCCCCCCCCCCCCTTTTGGTCTGAAAGATTTCATCATCCATCGGAGTCTCCCTTTCACCGTCGAATCTCGTCGCTTCAACCTTCACCGTCAACTGCATAGTTCGTCGTCAGTTGGGGTACCGCGAATCTCCTCCCATTTCGCGATCTCTTCTTTGTCCTCTCTTCACTCTTCTTCACCGCCGATCTGCTCTGTTCATCTGTCATCGTCGATCTGGGAGCTACACCGTCGTTCTCGTCTTCTGCTCTGTTCATCCGTCACAGTCGAGCTTCACCTCTCCGACAGTCAACGGCAGCTCATCTTCACTAGCACCAGGTAACCATTTTTTTCACATTGATTTGTATTTGCATTTTTTAATGTGATGGCTTGGTCTCTGTTGGGTTAAGCTAAGCAAGTAAGGATTAGGGTCATTTAGTGCTTGATTAGAAGAGAAATTGTGATTTCAAGTTACCTTCTGGTTATAGGTGAAACTTTCATGCTTAGTTTGTGCCTACCTACTTGGTTTATATAAAATTATTGAAGCTTTATAATTTCCTCTTTATCACTACTAATCTGCAAAGGCCTTATTATCTCCATGTGTTTGAATAAGTTGTTCTTACATATCATATATATTGTGGATTAATGTAAAACTTGAGATGTAGTGTCTAACTGCTTGAGGATACTATTGGTGTTAGAATTAAAGATTAATGTGAACGAGAGCATGACTGTTAGTCAAGGCCCAATTGAACCTTTAGTTGATGCATTTTCTTCTTGTTTGAAAGAGAATAAAACCTACTTTATAAGAATTATGATTTGGCATTCTGCAAATGGAAGTGGTTGATGTTTTTACTGTTGTGCTGTTGTATGTGGTAGATGTGATGCTTCCTGAAGTCTTATTTTGACATCAAAGTTTAGGATTCCTAACTGCAATCTTGTTGTTTACTTATAGTGACGATCTGATGTTATTTTTACTTGCTATTTTCTGATTAATAATTTTTCATATATTAGGAGTTGTTACAAGAAAATTACATATGATCCTATTGATTATGAGAGTATTGATAAAACTGAATGGTGTATAGTTGATGAGGAAGAGGAGGTTAGTGAGCTTAATTATGATGAATTGGGATAATCATTATATGGAGAAGGAGTTATTCCTATAGATAGTGGTGATCACTCTACTTATTATGGCTCAACAGATGCTTCAGAAGGTTGTTTACAATTTTTTAAGCAATTTCAATTTGGTAGCAGCTAGTTTATATTCAATTAGTTTAAATGGGAGGATTTAACTTATGGGTTTCCTTTTTTGCTAGAATTTTTTGTAGATGATATCGCTGATGTTAATAATGATGACGATTATCTGTCAGGTAGTGTGTGAATTGCGAATTTTAATTGAGGATGGAATGATGGATTGAAGACCATTGGGTGAAGATCATTTTTTGTTAGAATGTTGACTTGAAAGTTGAAACAACTATTATGTGATTTTTCTTCCTTTATTTTGTTATTTTGATTTGTAATTTGTTGTATTATTGATATAATGATGTTTGATGATGCTTTGCTAAGGACTTTTTATTCTGGAGTTTATGATTTGGACCCAAATTCTGGAAATTTGCATTCTGTGAACAGTAGTTTTGTTGACGTCAACATGATGACGTCACCGGTTGAACCGGTCGACCCGGGACCTGGCCATCTTGCCGGGTTTTGTCCCGAGTCGGTTTTTAAAACATTGCCATGGGGATTTTCCACAAGCCTAATTAATTTCCTATCTGTATTTTAAAACTTGGTCCGGCTTGGCCGGTTAAACCCGGGACCTTCATCAGGCCGGGTTAACAATTTCTTATTTACCCAAAACCCTAGAATTTAGGATGATGATCGACGAACAATTGAAGATCGGGATGTTAGAGCTTTTGAAGAGAAAGTGCTGGTGAGTGCAACGATGGTGACAGAATTGATTTTCGGTGAGTTAATCGATTAGAAGTCGAAAAAAATCGGTGGCGAAAATAGCTAACAAAAGTCAGCGATTGGTAAGGTGAACGAGAGTGGGGTGAGTTGGGTTTTGGTCAGGAGGTTGAGGGTAGGATTTCGTGGTGATGGTGAGATCTAGTTGAAATCAGTCAACGCTATTGTTGGTGCGATCTTGTCAAAATTGGTCGATTTCGGCTAGATCTTGGGTAGATTTTCTACTATAGGGGCTTAAGGGATGGTTGGGATTGCATTTGGTGTGTTGTCGTTGCCAACTAGTTGACCTCTGATTTGCATTTGGGCGTGTTTGCTAAATTTCACAATTATAAGGACTTAATTGTAATTTTTAAAGGTGTATTTGCCAAATTTTAAACTTTTTGACATCTGGTTAACAGCCAGTCAAACTGGTCAACCTGAGACCCGGCAACTTTGCCCGGTTTTCACCCGGGTTGGTTATTAAAACATTGATTCCAATTACATAGAACAATTTTGTCGCCTGATTCTTATATATTTTCCCTTTATGGATTTATTTTATTTTATTATTATTATACTGCTAAGAATGTTTGAATGTCGAGGCTAAGTATTCTGAAACTAAGAAGAACTAGTTGTAGAGTTTGACTGCAACTTTTGTTATCATTGCATTGCATTGCTAATGCAAAGTCACCTACAACTCCTGTATTTTAATGGAGAAGCCACATTAACAACAGAAGAGAGAACTGTATTTTATGGAGTCTGCCGAAGTTTCTGAATATGGTTGTTTCTGTGAATGGATTCTCCCTCACATCTCTCAACATAATTAAAAAAAAAAAAAAAAAAAACCAGAATTTGCAGCTGCTTGAAGTAAGAAGTACTAACAGTGACATAACGCATCATGTTCTTATCATTCACAATTTAATATTGCTTTAAGTTTCATTAGAACAATGTCAGTCTGCCTCCCTCCCTCTAATCCAAGCCAATATTAACAAAATAAAACCTAAATAAATTCATAGAAAAGAGAAGAGACGTAAATTCAGGTCAAGGGGCGGTCAATCTTAGGCTTCTTGTTATCTCCAAAAGTATTCTCAATAATATCTACAATCTTCCTCTGTGAATCAACGATCATCTGAATTCGCTTATTCTCCATCTCCACTCTCCTCCTCTCAAATTCCCTCATAACTTTAATCTTCCTCTTCTCCATCCTCTCAATCCTCCCAGCAAATCCCCTTATTTCCTCAGCCAATCTCACGCCAAACACCTCATCATTCCACCTCCCATCTATACCATCAATACTCTCTGACTTAATAAAAAAACTATCATCCTCTTCTTCTTCGATTTCTACGGGCGGCAGTGCAGAGATAGGCAAAGGACCATTTAGCAAGCAATCCATGAGGGGAAAGAAATTCCAAGAAGAAGAGATTGGGGCGCGTTGTTTTTCGGAACGGTAGCGTTTACGGAGCTTTTCGATCTTGTGACGGCACTGGGTACCGGATTTTGCTGATGGGTTAGAGTGGTCGTAGCCGCAACGTAACGCGACGGTTATAGCGACTTCTTCCCAGTGGGTGGCTTTGAGGGGGCTCCGCTCCAAAGAGTACCATTTATCTTGATAGGCTTCGATGAGGTGGAGAGTCTCTTGGTTTGTCCAGGGAATTGGTTGAGGTTTCTTCATTGGTGATGGAGATGAAACTGCGTGGGTGCCCATTCTCAACACTGATTTGAAATTTTGGATTGGAATGGTTAGGTTTAGGTTTCTTCCTTCTTCCTTCCTCCTTTCTTCTAGTATTAGTGGGTGAGTTAGGTCGTTTCTTTAACAATGTTTCGCTAAGGTGGACCTATATGTTCCGATAAAACTCCCACCCCCCTTTTTTTTTTTATTGAGTTAACGATTTTTAATTTTTAAAATATTATTTTATTATTTAAATTTATATTTTGACGATAAACAGAGAAAAAACTTAGTTTAAGCTATTGAGATTTTTGGAGAAAAGAGACCGATGAGTCTTTTGGTTGTGAAAAGTTAGATTCTGGTGATTGGGATTGATTAGAACTTGACTTGGAATGAGTGGCTGTGCAAACTCTAATAACTTAATTACTAGCGATTGGTGGGGTCAGTGAGAATAGGGTTTGAAGGGTTTTGGTGAGCGATGATCAGAGAAAAAAATGGTGGTAATGTGAGGTTGCAACAATACCAAAATCGGAAACCAAATATAAATTTGGATAATAAAGTGATATTTTAAAAGTTTACGGGTGAAAAAATGTCATTAAACCTTTATTGGGGTGGGAAAAGGTTATTTACTCTTTTTTATTTTATAAAAATATACAAATAACCCCTCACTCTTAAAAATAATGAATAACGTTTTAAAATATATATATGAAAAAAGAGCCTTAACAATAATTATAGAAGAATAAGATGAGTATAAGTAAAATAAATAAGGACAAATTATAATTAAAATATAATTTATCTAGCTTAACTCACTGGGAATCCTAACCAATTCTTAAATCTTAACGTTTCTGTTATATCGATAAAATAATCTCCAAAAAAGAAAAAAAACAAACGAAGAACTTTTTACGTACTTTGATGCGACAATACTATTGGGATGCATATATGTAACTGATTTAAGGAAATATTTCTACCAAGTCGCAACATTAAATGTTTTAAGAGTGAAAAAAGGAGCATTATTTCTTTAGTGCTCTTATGCATATTTGTCAAATCATATATTGTATCAAAAACCTAATTTTTTAAATTATATATCGCGTATTATATCATATTATAATATATGTCTTAAAAAAAAAAGTTTAATAAAACAATAAAATTTTCTAAAAATTAATATCATTCCAAAAATTAATTAAAGAATTTTGTGGTATTATTAATTTTAAATTATGGTATTACGTAATCAAAATTAATCATAAAATTAAGAATTTATATCATTTCTTTTAAACTATTCATATCATTTTCAAGATCAATATCAATAGTTATATCTCCACTTGTATTATTATTATCATGTAAAATGGACAACAAATGTTCCTCTTTCACTTTCTTCATGTAAAATGGATAAATTTGGACAGATTTTAGTGAACCAAGTTGAGTGATCCGGATTCGAACCAAAATTTTTTTGAGCCCAAATTAATAAAGTTGTATCGATATTTTTAAAGATACAAATGAATACATATCGTATCATATGATACATATCAATGTATCGAAAGGTTTATGATACACTCATTGATATGTATTGTTAACGATATGTATCAAATCATATTTTAAGATACTAATGACCATTCTCTTATGTTACGCTTATGCAAGCTAATGGATCGCTAAAATAAAGCTTTTTCAATCCATCATATATACCAATTTTATTGAATGTTTATTCACGCTCCACATCTTAACCATAATTTTTTGCTTCAAATAATGTTCCCATCTCTCATCTCTTCCTCAATATATAAGAGCAATCATTACCTCGGTCATTTGATTCTCAATCATCAACTCCAACTAGTAACTTCACATACAAATGTGACAAGAAAGAGAGAAAAAGAAATTAGTTTTCACAATTGCCTAAAAATTGGTGAGTTTGTACAACTTAGCCTGTGAGAACAACCAAAGGGTGAATATAATATGTACAGAAACATCAACAATATTATACACCACTGTCCCGCTCACTGCCAAATTTTATCTCCAATAAGAACCGTGTTATGAGCCCTAAAAAACAAGAGCACTCTTTTACTTCGCTGGCTGGCTAACCTCAACTCCAATTAAAAGAACCTAGGAGAAAGAAACATAAATGAGTTATTGCCAACTTTTTTTTGCCAGCAATTATGGCTTCCAATCATCAGCATCTGCAGCTACAGCCACAGCCACACACAACAAAAGCAGGTTAATCAAACTCAAACGCAAGCACCTGCTCAGAGAATGCTTCAACAGAATCGTCAACTGAATTCTGATCCGCTAAGCAAGTCTCAAATCGATCAATCTCAACCTGACCAGCATCCTGTGAACAATGCTTCAATGATGGGTACCAGTACGACTACAGCAATGCCTCTCTGTATTGATTCAGCTAATGTTGTGCCAGTTTCTTCTTCTGCTGTTGCTTCTCAATGGAAAGCATCAGAACCAGTATATGATTCTGGCATGCCGAATATGGCCAATCAAGTGGTTCCATTGGGAGTCCTCCTCTTACGAATTCAGCTGGGAGTGATGCAGTATCATCTATTAGTCAAGGTTTAGGACAGAGGCAGTTATCAGGTAGCTTGCCACCTCATGGGCATAATGCTGGACACAGTGGCAGCACCAGTCTCAGCTACAACAGACCCCTACACTGCCAACCACATCGCAACAACACACTGCCACCACATGAACAAGAAGTTCTGCAACAAGATCACCCGCAGTTACCCCAACAACAGCTCCACCACAGCAGTCTCAGCAGCAGACGCAGCATCTGCAGGCAGCACAGGCAGTTTGTATATCAGACCCACTAACACAAATTGGAATGAAACAGTCTGTGGATTGAGCAGTTCTGAGAGCAGTCGGACCCTGCAAGAGTTGGGTTTGCATGCTGTTGTAACAGCAGTGTACAGGTAATTCTGGAATCTGGATAGTTTGATCTTAGCACTAAATAGAATTGGCATTATCGGCAATTTTTTTAGCTTTTTCATGTATCATTTTTCACAAACATTTTTCTGCTACACATTGACTTAATTTTATCGTGTTTTAAGTTAGAATTATTGACAGATTTGATATATGCTACTTATCTCATAAATCTTATGGAGCCTTCTTTTCATTGTGGACATGCTCTATGTCAGAAAATGCCTGTCAGTATTTTGACATCTAGGTTTCCTCACCTAATTGAAAAGACTGAGTTTGGAATTTTTTCCATTTTTTGGCCATATTGTCATGTTTTGACCATGTCGACCATTCTCTCGGTTATTTTATTTTTTTGTGGGGATCTACATTGTCTTTGTTCAATGGTGTGAAATTAAGTAATAGATTTGTGTTTATATGCAGATGAAGCTGGTTATTTTATTGGGCAATGCAAAATGCAAAATAGGAGATTGTCTTCTGCCGTTTCTGTCAAAAGTTCACAGGAGATGCTAGCGGCTAATTCCTTTTTCTTTCTCTTCTTTTTCTGTTAATTTATTTTCCTGTTAATTTTGGGAATTATGTAAATTACCACTGGTTTAGAGCTTAGGGAAGGTAGAGACAATATAGAGGTATGTGTACAGGGGTCTCATTTTCCCTTATGTTCTTTTCCCCCATTTTCCCAGGTGGGCCGTATCGTTTTTGCCCCGGTAGATTAGTGAATGTGAATGTATTATTACCCTTTTCAGATTTAGTGGGTAGCAAGCAATCATTGATATGATATGGGCAAATGCCTTTGGAAATTTTGTGAATATAAGGTCTCTGGTCAATGGTATTAGAATTAGAATGATCAGCAAGCTTCTGTCACTGCCATGGGCGCTGGCCCCTTATTGTAATTTTCCTAGTGGATCAACCTTTTAAATGAAAGCTCTTCCATTTTTCTTCCTGTATATAACAAATGCCTGCCTCATCAGTTTTTTTTTTTTTTTGACTGCCGTGTTTTTTTCTCTTTGTGTTTTTATAATAATTTTGTAAGGTGGGTGAGAAATATCTCATCACTTCGGTAGCTGGTTATTTAAAAGCCCAACGTGGAAAAACACAGAAAACTTACCAAAGAAGCAGCAGTAATCAAAGGGTTAAGCAGTTTTGATTCTTTTGATATTCTAGTGAAGCGGTGACAAATTATAACATTTTGCTCCTGGAGCAATGTTCAAAACCCAACCTGCCCTGCTGGTCGAATCGGGACCCGGCTAGTCATTTGGTTGGGTGAGCCTTAACCCATGGTTTAAAACATGGATCGGCTCGGCCGGTTTAACCGGTTGGATAGGGACTCGGGCCTTCTCTGGGTTGGGTCACTCTTTTTACTCTTTTAAGTTTAAGTATAACAAACACACTCCTAATTAATACGCATTAGTCCCTGAAGTTTTCAAATCTAGCAAACACACTTTTGGCCAAATGCAAATCGACAATGACCTCCCCTTTTCCGGCGACCTTCCATCTTCCCTTACTGTCGGAAACCACCTCTCTGACTTTCTCTGCGCTGTCACGCTTTATCTCTAGCTGTCGCGTGATGTTTCGTCGTTCACCTTCGTCGCGTGATTTTTCTTCCATTTCTCGGTGTCGATCGCCCTTTTCTGGCATCCAGGCTTCCTCAGCCACCGATCTACCTTCTCCCAAGCTCCCTTGTCGTCGTTCACGAAGATCCATTCATCTCACCAAAAAAGCACACGACCATTGACTTCTACCACCGATCTGCCATTTTCTAGCGATGTCTCTACTTGCTAGTTGTCGATTCACCCTCCCAATCATCCGATCTACCCCCTAGTTTGTCGTCACTGCTCTCCCAATCGATCGCCGATTTGCATTTGGCCAGGGTTGTGTTTGCTAGATTTCAAACCTATAGGGTTTGATGGTATTTTATGAGGTGTTTTGTTAGATTTTAAACCTGTCAAACCATTGGTTCATTGGCGTTAGACCGGTTGAACGTGACTCGACCATCAGAGCGGGTTGCCCTCCGTTCGGTTTTTAAAACAATGCCTTAAACTCGACTAATTAGCCTGCTAGTTTCACCCGCTGTTGGATCGTGTATGTAGCACTCGTCTGTCCAACATTATTTTTACAGAAACCAGTCAGCTAAAATGCTAAATTAAAAAATTTAAAAGTAAAATTTAATTAAACCCATATATATAAAAATTAAACATTAAACCCCCATCCCAAAGCAAATATCAAGTTATCAACGATTCTTCTCTCCTCCCCCCCCCTCCCCCCCCCCCCCCCCCCCTTTGGTCTGAAATTTCATCATCCATCGGAGTCTCCCTTTCACCGTCGAATCTCGTCGCTTCAACCTTCACGTCAACTGCATAGTTCGTCGCAGTTGGGGTAAACCGCGAATCTCCTCCATTGCGCGATCTCTCTTTTCCTCTCTTCACTTCTTCACACCGCCGATCTGCTCTGTTCATCTTCATCGTCGATCTGGGAGCTACACCGTCGTTCTCGTCTTCTGCTCTGTTCATTCCGTCACAGTCGAGCTATACCTCTCCGACGTCAACGGCATCTCATCTTCACAGCCACCAGGTAACCATTTTTTCACATTGATTTGTATTTGCATTTTTTATGTGATGGCTTGGTCTCTGTTGGGTTAAGCTAAGCAAGTAAGGATAGGGTCATTTAGTGCTTGATTAGAAGAGAAATTGTGTATTCAAGTTACCTTCTGGTTATAGGTGAAACTTTCATGCTTAGTTTGTGCCTACCTACTTGGTTTTAATAAAATTATTGAAGCTTTATAATTTCCTCTTTATCACTACTAATCTGCAAAGGCCTTATATCTCCATGTGTTTGATAATTGTTCTTACATATCATATTATTGTGGATTAATGTAAAACTTGAGATGTAGTGTCTAACTGCTTGAGGATACATTGGTGTTAGAATTAAAGATTAATGTGAACGAGAGCATGACTGTTAGTCAAGGCCCAATTGAACCTTTAGTTGATGCATTTTTCTTTGTTTGAAAGAGAATAAAACCTACTTTATAAGAATTATGATTTGGCATTCTGCAAATGGAATGGTTGATGTTTTACTGTTGTGCTGTTGTATGTGGTAGATGTGATGCTTCCTGAAGTCTTATTTTGACACAAAGTTTAGGATTCCTACTGCAATCTGTTGTTTACTTATAGTGACGATCTGATGTTATTTTTACTGCTATTTTCTGATTAATATTTTTTCATATTTAGGAGTTGTTACAAGAATTACATATGATCTATTGATTATAAGAGTATTGATAAACTGAATGGTGTATAGTTGATGAGAAGGAGGTTAGTGAGCTTAATTATGATGAATTGGATAATCATTATATGGAGAAGAGTTATTCCTATAGAGTGGTGATCACTCTACTTATTATCTCAACAGATCTTCAGAAGTTGTTTACAATTTTTTAAGCAATTTCAATTTGGTAGCACTAGTTTATATTCAATTAGTTTAAATGGAGGATTTAACTTATGGTTCCTTTTTTGCTAGAATTTTTGTAGATGATATCGCTGATTTAAAATGATGACGATCTATCGGTCAGGTAGTGGTAATTGCGAATTTTAATTGAGGATGATGATGGATTGAAGACCATTGGGTAAGATCATTTTTTGTTAGAATGTTGACTTGAAAGTTGAAACAACTATTATGTGATTTTTCTTCCTTTCTTTTTGTTATTTTGATTTGTAATTTGTTGTATTATTGATATAGATGTTTTTGTATGCTTTGCTAAGGACTTTTTATTCTGGAGTTTATGATTTGGACCAAATTCTGAATTTGCATTCGTGAACAGTAGTTTGTTGACTGTCACATGATGACTCACCGGTTGAACCGGTCGACCGGGACCGGCCATCTTGCCGGGTTTGTCTCGAGTCGGTTTTTAAAACATTGCCATGGGATTTTCCACAAGCCTAATTAATTTCCTATCTGTATTTAAAACTTGGTCGGCTTGGCCGTTAAACCGGGACCTTCATGCAGGCCGGGTTAACAATTTCTTATTTACCCAAAACCCTAGAATTTAGGATGATGATCGACGACAATTAGATCGGGATGTTAGAGCTTTTGAAGAGAAGTGCTGGTGAGTGCAACGATGTGACGAATTGATTTTCGGTGAGTTAATCGATTAGAAGTCGAAAAAAATCGGTGGCGAAAATAGCTAACAAAAGTCAGCGATTGGTAAGGTGAACGGGTGGGGTGAGTTGGGTTTTGGTCAGGAGGTTGAGGGTAGGATTTCGTGGTGATGGTGAGATCTAGTTGAAATCAGTTCAACGCTATTTGGTGCGATCTGTCAAAATTGTCGATTTCGGCTAGATCTTGGGTAGATTTTCTACTATAGGGGCTTAAGGGATGGTTGGGATTGCATTGGTGTGTTGTCGTTGCCAACTAGTTGACCTCTGATTGCATTTGGGGTGTTTGCTAAATTTCACAATTATAGGACTTAATGTAATTTTTAAAGGTGTATTTGCCAATTTAAACTTTTTGACATCTGTTAACCCAGTCAAACTGGTCACCTGAGACCCGGCAACTTTCCCGGTTTCACCCGTTGGTTATTAAAACATTGATTCCAATTACATAGAACAATTTTGTCGCCTGATTCTTATATATTTTCCCTTTATGGATTTATTTTATTTTATTATTATTATACTGCTAAGAATGTTTGAATGTCGAGGCTAAGTATTCTGAAACTAAGAAGACAGTTTAGAGTTTGACTGCAACTTTTGTTATCATTGCATTGCATTGCTAATGCAAAGTCACCTACAACTCCTGTATTTAATGGAGAAGCCACATTAACAACAGAAGAGAGAACTGTATTTTATGGAGCTGCCGAAGTTTCTGAATATGGTTGTTTCTGTGATGGATTCTCCCTCACATCTCTCAACATAATTAAAAAAAAAAAAAAAAAAACCAGAATTTGTATCGCGTAAAGTAAAGTACTAACAGTGACATAACCATCATGTTCTTATCATTCACAATTTAATATTCTTTAAGTTTCATTAGAACAATGTCAGTCTGCCTCCCTCCCTCTAATCCAACCAATATAACAAATAAACCTAAATAAATTCATAGAAAAGAGAGACGTAAATTCGTCAAGGGGCGGTCAATCTTAGGCTTCTTGTTATCTCCAAAAGTATTCCTCATAATATCTACAACTTCCTCTGTGAATCACCGATCATCTGAATTCGCTTATTCTCCATCTCCACTCTCCTCCTCTCAAATTCCCTCATAACTTTAATCTTCCTCTTCTCCCTCCTCTCAATCCTCCCAAATCCCCTTATTTCCTCAGCCAATCTCACGCCAAACACCTCATCATTCCACCTCCCATCTATACCATCAAATATTTAGTACCTGTTGCAATGAGATGGGAAATGAGATGGTTGAACTATAAACGCAGTACCTGTTGCAGTGAGATGGGATGATTGGGTTGAGTTGTTACCTTTCTGAAGTTAGAGTTGTAGTTGTTTATTTGTCTCTGAAATGGGTATTGGACCATTTTTTTAAACCAATTTAGGACGTCCAGAACTTTTGATACTTGTAAGTTTATTCAGTTTTGTGTTTAGTTTATCCTGACGATTTATAAAGTTGGTTAGGAGTTGGAACTGGTTTATAACAACCCAATTACCGAAGTCACATCCTACTTTAGTTAGGTATATATTTCACTTCCATCTCATTCCAAATAATCTGTAGCAGATGATCATAAGGAGTATTTGCGATCAATTAAATGTTAATTGAAAACAAATGCATGCTCATATGTTCAGATGACATATGCTGTTAATCAAAACTGTTAAATGCAGCAATATATCATTTTAATAAGACATGCCATTATGATGGCAATATGATATTGTCTGCCTTAGGATGCCCAAGTAAAAATTGTTTGTTAGGCAACTGTATACTGAGAATCTGCCATTAAATCTGGTCAAACTGTTATATATATGAGACAACAGGTTTATGCCAAAGGTTCTATATTTCATGGCAGTCTATGCCAAATACAAAAAAAGGTTCTTTGAAAATTGAAGAAAGAATATGCAGTTCACAGTAATGTGAGGAAAGTCTGTGATCACAATATTTGTGATCTATTGATTTTTGGGTGGAGTTGGAAATTTTAGTGATGATGACCTATATGTTCATGAATGTATTAAACAAATTGTATTATGTTAGTTAGTCTACTTTTGACTTATGTATAGACAATATTTCAGCTGTTAGATAACTACATTCGTGCCAATAGCTTCAAATCTATCTGAAGGAACACTTTCACTAGGAACTTGAAATTCTTAATTTTGCCAAAGCTTTCATGCAACCACCTAACAGCACTAAGAACATCTAATTGTTTGGCAATCATGGGTTACACTATGATGCTTGGTTTGCCTCTACTTCTCACATTGCTTTTTAATAACAAGTGTTAGAGAATCTATCTCAAAATCTGTGATTGGATATGGTTTTCTTTTGTTAAATTTTCCTGATAATTTCATAACATGGAGATAATCACTAGGTTATGATGTAATGACATGTTGGCTTTGAAACATATTTGGTCGACTTATTTAGTTTAAATGATATTTGGAAGTTAAACAGTGATATGGTTTTGCATTTGTTTAGCATTGATTTAAATAATCTCTCGTTGTCTTTTAAGTTTAAGAATTTTGCTTTATTGTGGAAGGTGGTTTGGCATTTGCGGTGTTTTACTGGTGAATTGACACTTGGAATTTAAAATGTACACTGATTTTATCGCTTGCTTTATAATGCCCTTGTTTTTGTTACAATTAATGTGGTGATAGCCTGGCCACAATGCGGATCATCAAAGGCAATTGATGGTACCAGAGCTCCAGATGCAGGTCACACAAGGAAGTGGTCAAGGGCTTCCTGCTTTCAATGGGTTGAGTTCTTCTTTCTCTAATCAGACTACACCCCCGGCTGTTCAGTCATATCCAGGCCATCCTCAGCAGCAGCATCAAGCGTCCGCACAACCATCCCATGGGCTAAGCAACCATCATCCTCATCTTCAGGGTGCAAATCATGCTACTGGATCACAGCAGCAAGCCTATGCAATCCGGCTTGCTAAAGAGCGGCATTTGCAGCAGCGTTATTTGCAGCAGCAGCAACAACAGCAGCAGCAGCACCAACAGCAACAGCAGTTTGCTGCTTCAGGTGCTTTGATGCCACATGTCCAACCACAGACTCAACTTCCCATATCATCTTCTCTGCAAAGTGGTTCCCAAATTCAATCACCAACCTCATCGCAGCCTGGAACTATGCCCCCCCTTACAGCATCTTCCCCGATGACACCGATATCATTGCAGCACCAGCAGAAGCAACATTTACCTTCTCATGGGCTAAGCCGCAATCCTCAATCTGGTGCCAGTGGTTTAAACAATCAGATGGGTAAGCAACGACAACGACAGCCACCGCAGCAACAGTTTCAACAACCTGGCAGGCACCATCCTCAACAGCGACAGCATGCACAATCTCAACAGCAGGCTAAACTATTAAAGGGAATTGGAAGAGGGAATATGGTGATGCACCAGAACCTTACTGTTGATCCATCTCATCTAAATGGTTTAACTGGGGCTCCAGGTAACCAAGCTACTGAGAAAGGAGAGCAGATCATGCACTTAATGCAAGGTCAAGGTTTGTATTCTGGGTCCAGCTTAAACCCTGTTCAACCATCTAAACCATTAGTTCCTTCTCAAGCCTCTAATCACTCACAGCCACAGCAAAAGCTATATTCTGGTCCAACCACCCCTTCATCAAAGCAACTCCAGCAGATGCCTTCTCATTCTGATAATAGCCCTCAAGGCCAGGTTCAATCCGTCACTTCTGGACATACACTACCAGCTACGCATCAAACTGTTTTGCCAGCAATTATGGCTTCCAATCATCAGCATCTGCAGCTACAGCCACAGCCACAGCCACAACAAAAGCAGGTTAATCAAACTCAAACGCAAGCACCTGCTCAGAGAATGCTTCAACAGAATCGTCAACTGAATTCTGATCCGCTAAGCAAGTCTCAAATCGATCAATCTCAACCTGACCAGCAGCCTGTGAACAATGCTTCAATGATGGGTACCAGTACGACTACAGCAATGCCTCAGGTCTGTATTGATTCAGCTAATGTTGTGCCAGTTTCTTCTTCTGCTGTTACTTCTCAATGGAAAGCATCAGAACCAGTATATGATTCTGGCATGCCGAATATGGCCAATCAAGTGGGTTCCATTGGGAGTCCTCCTCTTACGAATTCAGCTGGGAGTGATGCAGTATCATCTATTAGTCAAGGTTTAGGACAGAGGCAGTTATCAGGTAGCTTGCCACCTCATGGGCATAATGCTGGGACACAGTGGCAGCACCAGTCTCAGCTACAACAGACCCCTACACTGCCAACCACATCGCAACAACACTGCCAGCCACATGAACAAGAAGTTCTGCAACAAGATCAACAGCAGTTACCCCAACAACAGCTCCCACCACAGCAGTCTCAGCAGCAGACGCAGCATCTGCAGGCAGCACAAGGCAGTTTGTATATCAGACCCACTAACACAAAATTGGAATGAAACAGTCTGTGGATTGAGCAGTTCTGAGAGCAGTCGGACCCTGCAAGAGTTGGGTTTGCATGCTGTTGTAACAGCAGTGTACAGGTAATTCTGGAATCTGGATAGTTTGATCTTAGTACATGAAATAGAATTGTGGCATTACTGGGCAATTTTTTTTACCTCTTTTCATGTATCATTTTTCACAAACATTTTTCTGCTACACATTGACTTAATTTTATCGTGTTTTAAGTTAGAGATTATTGACAGATTTGATATATGCTACTTATCTCATAAATCTTATGGAGCCTTCTTTAGTCATTGTGGACAGGCTCAGTATGTCAGAAAATGCCTGTCAGTATTTTGACATCTAGGTTTCCTCACCTTAGATTGAAAAGACTAGAGTTTGGAATTATTTACCATTTTTTTGGCCATATTGTCATGTTTTGACCATGTCGACCTTCTCTCGGTTATTTTTTTTTTTTTTTTTGTGGGGATCTACATTATCTTTGTTCAATGGTGTGAAATTAAGTAATAGATTTGTGTTTTATGCAGATGAAGCTGGTTATTTTATTGGGCAATGCAAAATGCAAAAATAGGAGATTGTCTTCTGCCGGTTCTGTCAAAAGTTCACAGGAGATGCTAGCGGGCTAATTCCTTTTTCTTTCTCTTCTTTTTCTGTTAATTTATTTTCCTGTTAATTTTGGGAATTATGTAAATTACCACTGGTTTAGAGCTTAGGGAAGGTAGAGACAAATATAGAGGTATGTGTACAGGGGTCTCATTTTCCCTTATGTTCTTTTCCCCCATTTTCCCAGGTGGGCCGTATTCGTTTTTGCCCCGGTAGATTAGTGAATGTGAATGTATTATTACCCTTTTCAGATTTAGTGGGTAGCAAGCAATCATTGATATGATATGGGCAAATGCCTTTGGAAATTTTGTGAATATAAGGTCTCTGGTCAATGGTATTAGAATTAGAATGATCAGCAAGCTTCTGTCACTGCCATGGGCGCTGGCCCCTTATTGTAATTTTCCTAGTGGATCAACCTTTTAAATGAAAGCTCTTCCATTTTTCTTCCTGTATATAACAAATGCCTGACTTATCAGTGTTTTTTTTTTTTTTGGACTGCCGTGTTTTTTTCTCTTTGTGTTTTTATAATAATTTGTAAGGTGGGTGAGAAAATATCTCATCACTTCAGGTAACTGGTTATTTAAAAGCCCAACGTGGAGAAATCACAGAAAACTTACCAAAAGAAGCAGGCAGTAATCAAAGGGTTAAGCAGTTTTGATTCTTTTGATATTCTAGTGAAGCGGTGACAAATTATTAACATTTTGCTCCATCGAGGAATGTTTTAAAACCCAGCACGGCCTGGTGGGTTGAATCGGGACCTTGCCAGCTAGTTGGGCCGGGTGAGCCTTAAACCTGGCATAATTAGCCTGTCTAGTTTCACTCGCGGTTGGACTGGTGTATTATAGCACCCGTCTGTCCAACAGTTATTTTTACAGAAACCGGGTCAGCTAAAATGTTAAATTAAAAAATTTAAAAAGTAAAAATATTAAGTAAACCCATATTATATAAAAATTAAACATTAAACCCCTCATCCCAAAGCAAATATTAAGTTATCAACGATTTTTCCCCCATTTTCACGCCACTTCCCTTACTTTTGGTCTGAAAGATTTCTTCATCCACTGGAGTCTCCCCTTCACCGTTGAATCTCTCGTCGCTTCAGCCTTCATCGTCAACTGCATAGTTCGTCGTCAGCTGGGATACCGCGAATCTCCTCTCATTTGGTGATCTCTTCTCTATCCTCTCTTCACTCTTCTTCACCGACGATCTACTCTGTTCATTCGTCATCGTCGATCTGAGAGCTACACCGTCGTTCTCGTCTTCTTCTTGCTCAAGAACTGTCGCCAGTCGCGATCTCTTCTTCGTTCTCGTCTTCTGCTTTGTTCATTCGTCACAGTCGAGCTCCACCTCTCGGGCAGTCAACGATAGCTCATCTTCACCAGCACCAGGTAACCATTTTTTCACATTGATTTGTATTTGCATTTTTTAATGTGCTGACTTGGTCTCTGTTGGGTTAAGCTAAGCAAGTAAAGATTAGGGTCATTTAGTGCTTGATTAGAAGAGAAATTGTGATTTCAAGTTACCTTCTGGTTATAGGTGAAACTTTTATGCTTAGTTTGTGCCTATCTACTTGGTTTTATATAAAATTATTGAAGCTTTATAATTTCCTCTTTATCACTACTAATCTGCAAAGGCCTTATTATCTCCATGTGTTTGAATAAGTTGTTCTTACATATTATATATCTTGTGGATTAATGTAAAACTTGAGATGTAGTGTCTAACTGCTTGAGGATACAATTGGTGTTAGAATTGAAGATTAATGTGAACGAGAGCATGACTGTTAGTCAAGGCCAAATTGAACCTTTAGTTGATGCATTTTCTTATTGTTTGAAAGAGAATAAAACCTACTTTATAAGAATTATGATTTGGCATTCTGCAAATGGGAGTGGTTGATGTTTTTACTGTTGTGCTGTTGTATGTGGTAGATGTGATGCTTCCTGAAGTCTTATTTTGGCATCAAAGTTTACGATTCCTAACTGCAATCTTGTTGTTTACTTATAGTGACGATCTAATGTTATTTTTGCTTGCTATTTTCTGATTAATAATTTTTCATATTTCAGGAGTTGTTACAAGAAAATTACATATGATTATATTGATTATAAGAGTATTGATAAAACTGAATGGTGGATAGTTGATGAGGAAGAGGAGATTGGTGAGCTTAATTATGATGAATTGGAATAATCATTATATGGAGAACGAGCTATTCCTATAGATGGTGGTGATCACCCTTCTTATTATGACTCAACAGATGCTTCAGAAGGTTGTTTACAATTTTTTAAGCAATTTCAATTTGGTAGTAGCTAGTTTATATTTAATTAGTTTAAATGGAATGATTTAACTTATGATTTTCCTTTTTTGCTTGAATTTTTTGTAGATGATGTCGTCAATGTTAATAATGATGACGATCATCTGTCAGGTGGTGTGTGAATTGTGAATTTTAATTGAGGATGGAATGATGGATTGAAGACCATTGAGTGAAGATCATTTTTTGTTAGAATGTTGAAGCGTTGACTTGAAAGTTGAAACAACTATTATGTGATTTTTCTTCCTTCATTTTGTTATTTTGATTTGTAATTTGTTGTATTATTGATGTAATGATGTTTGATGATGCTTTGCTAAGGACTTTTTATTTTGGAGTTTATGATTTGGAGCCAAATTCTGGAAATTTGCATTTTGTGAACAGTAATTTTGCTGACGTTAGCATGATGATGTCACTGGTTGAACCGGTCAACCAGGGACCCGGCCACCTTACCGGGTTTTGTCTCGGGTCGGTTTTTAAAACATTGCCATTGAGATTTTCCACAAGCCCAATTAATTTCCTATCTGTATTTTAAAACTTGGTCCGGCTTGGCCAGTTAAACTCGGGACCTTCATGAGGCCGGTTTAACAATTTTCTTATTTACCCAAAACCCTAAAATTTGGGATGATGATTGGCAAACAATTAAAGATCGGGATGTTAGGGCTTTTGAAGAGGAAGTGTTGGTGAGTGCAACGGTGGTGACGGAATTGATTTTCGGTGAGTTAATCGATCGGAAATCGAAAAAAATCGGTGGCAAAAATAGTTGACAAAAGTCATCGATTGGTAAGGTGAACGGGGGTGGGGTGAGATGGGTTTTGGTTAAGAGGTTGAGGGGAGTATTTTTTGGTGATGAGGAGGGTTGTCGACACTGGTGGTGGTGAGATCTAGTTGAAATTAGTTGACGCTAGTGTTGGTGAGATCTGGTCAAAATTGATCGATTTCGGCTAGATCTTGGGTAGATTTTTTAGGATATGAGCTTAAAGGATGGTTGAGATTGCATTTGGTGTGTTGTCGTTGCCAACTAGTTGATCGCCGATTTGCATTTGGGGTGTATTTGCTAAATTTCACAATTGTAAGGACTTAATGTAATTTTTAAAGGTGTATTTGCCGAATTTTAAACTTTTTGACATTCGGTTTAACCGGCCAGTCAAACTGGTCAACCTGAGACCCGGCAACTTTGCCAGGTTTCACCCGGGTTGGTTATTAAAACATTGATTCCAATTACATAGAACAATTTTGTCGCCTGATTCTTATATATTTTCCTTTATGGATTTATTTTATTTTATTATTATTATACTGCTAAGAATGTTTGAATGTCGAGGCTAAGTATTCTGAAACTAAGAAGAACTAGTTGTAGAGTTTGACTGCAACTTTTGTTATCATTGCATTGCATTGCTAATGCAAAGTCACCTACAACTCCTGTATTTTAATGGAGAAGCCACATTAACAACAGAAGAGAGAACTGTATTTTATGGAGTCTGCCGAAGTTTCTGAATATGGTTGTTTCTGTGAATGGATTCTCCCTCACATCTCTCAACATAATTAAAAAAAAAAAAAAAAAAAACCAGAATTTGCAGCTGCTTGAAGTAAGAAGTACTAACAGTGACATAACGCATCATGTTCTTATCATTCACAATTTAATATTGCTTTAAGTTTCATTAGAACAATGTCAGTCTGCCTCCCTCCCTCTAATCCAAGCCAATATTAACAAAATAAAACCTAAATAAATTCATAGAAAAGAGAAGAGACGTAAATTCAGGTCAAGGGGCGGTCAATCTTAGGCTTCTTGTTATCTCCAAAAGTATTCTCAATAATATCTACAATCTTCCTCTGTGAATCAACGATCATCTGAATTCGCTTATTCTCCATCTCCACTCTCCTCCTCTCAAATTCCCTCATAACTTTAATCTTCCTCTTCTCCATCCTCTCAATCCTCCCAGCAAATCCCCTTATTTCCTCAGCCAATCTCACGCCAAACACCTCATCATTCCACCTCCCATCTATACCATCAATACTCTCTGACTTAATAAAAAAACTATCATCCTCTTCTTCTTCGATTTCTACGGGCGGCAGTGCAGAGATAGGCAAAGGACCATTTAGCAAGCAATCCATGAGGGGAAAGAAATTCCAAGAAGAAGAGATTGGGGCGCGTTGTTTTTCGGAACGGTAGCGTTTACGGAGCTTTTCGATCTTGTGACGGCACTGGGTACCGGATTTTGCTGATGGGTTAGAGTGGTCGTAGCCGCAACGCAACGCGACGGTTATAGCGACTTCTTCCCAGTGGGTGGCTTTGAGGGGGCTCCGCTCCAAAGAATACCATTTATCTTGATAGGCTTCGATGAGGTGGAGAGTCTCTTGGTTTGTCCAGGGAATTGGTTGAGGTTTCTTCATTGGTGATGGAGATGAAACTGCGTGGGTGCCCATTCTCAACACTGATTTGAAATTTTGGATTGGAATGGTTAGGTTTAGGTTTCTTCTTCCTTCCGTCCTTCCTTCTTTTTTCTAGTATTAGTGGGTGAGTTAGGTCGTTTCTATAACAATGTTTCGCTAAGGTGGACCTATGTTCCAATAAAACTCCCACCCCATTTTTTATTGAGTTAACGATTTTTTCCGACCCAATTAATTAACGGTTTAATGACATTTTTTCACTTATAAATTTTTAAAATATTATTTTATTATTTAAATTTATATTTTAAACAATTTTTTACACCTAATTAATAGGTTTATGACACTTTTTTATTTATAAATTTTTAAAATACTATTTTATTATTTAAATTTATATTTCGACATTAAATAGAGAGAAAACTTGGTTCAAACTATTAAGGTTTTTGAAGAGGGGAGACTGACGAATCTTTTGATGGTAAAAAATTAGATTCTACTGGTTGGCATTAATTAGAACTTGACTTGAAAAGAGTGGTTGCGTAAACTCTAATAACTCAATTGCTAGCGATTGGTGGCGTCAATGAGAGTAGGGTTTGAAGGGTTTTGGGGATAAGAAAATGATGGTAGTTTGAGGTTACAACGATGCCAAAATCAGAAACGGAATATAAATTTAGATAATAAAGTGATATTTTAAAAGTCTACGGGTGAAAAAGTGTCATTAAACCTTTATTGGGGTGGGAAAAAGTCATTTACTCTTTTTTATTTTATAAAAATATACAAATAACCCATCACTCTTAAAAATAATGAATAACATCTTAAAAGATATTGTTTTGCATATATATATATAATTAAATTAGAAAAAAAGAGCCTTAAAAATAATTATAGAAGAATAAGATGAGTATAAGTAAAATAAATAAGGACAAATTATAATTAAAATATAATTTATCTAACTTAACTCACTAGGAATCCTAACCAATTCTTAAATCTTAACGCTTCTGTTATATCGATAAAATAATCTCCAAAAAAGAAAAAAAAAAAGAACTTTTTACATGCTTTGATGTGACAATATTATTGGGATGCATATACGTAACTGATTTAAGGAAATATTTCTACCAACTCGCAACATTACATGTTTTATGAGTGAAAAAAGGAACTTTAGGGCTCATATGTATAGTTGTCAAATCGTATATTGTATCGTGTATTGAAAATCTAATTTTTTGAATTATGTATCATGTATCATATCGTATCGTAGAATACGTCTTTTTAAAAAAAAAAATTAATAAAACAATAAATTTTTCTAAAAATTAATATCATTCCAAAGATTAATTAAAGAATTTTGTGGTATTATTGGTCTTAAATTATGGTACTACATAATCAAAATTAATCATAAAATTAAGAATCTATATCATTTCCTTTAAACCATTCATATCATTTCCAAGATCAATGTCAAGATCTATATCTCCACTTGTATTATTATTATCATGCAAAATGGATAACAAATGTTCTTCTTCACTTTCTCCGTATAAAATGGGTAAATTTGAGCAAGTTTTAGTGAACCAAGTTGGGTGACTCGGATTCGAATCCAAATTTTTTTGGGCCTTTGACCCAAATTAATAAAGTCGTATCGATATTTTTAAGGATACGAATGAATACGTATTGTATCATATGATACATATCAACGTATCGAAAGGTTTAAGATACACTCTCTGATACGTATCGTTGACGACCTGTATCAAATCATATCTTAGGATACTAATAACCATGCTCTTATGTTACGCTGATGCAACCTAATGGATCGCTAAAATGAAGCTTTTTCAATCCATCATGTATACCAATTTTATTGAATGTTTATTCACGCTCCACACCTTAACCATAATTTTTTGCTTCAAATAATGTTCCCATCTCTCATCTCTCCCTCAATATATAAGAGCAATCATTACCTTGGTCATTTGATTCTCAATCATCAACTCCAACTAGTAACTTCACATACAAATGTGACAAGAAAGAGAGAAAAAGAAATTAGTTTTCACAATTGCCTAAAAATTGGTGAGTTTGTACAACTTAGCCTGTGAGAACAACCAAAGAGTGAATATAATATGTACAGAAACATCAACAATATTATACACCACTGTCCCGCTCACTGCCAAATTTTATCTCCAATAAGAACCGTGTTATGAGCCCTAAAAAACAAGAGCACTCTTTTACTTCGCTGGCTGGCTAACCTCAACTCCAATTAAAAGAACCTAGGAGAAAGAAACATAAATGAGTTATTGCCAGAGAGAGAGAGAGAGAGAGCAAGGGCAACCTGCATTCATATAACTTACAACTTAACAAGAGACTCACCTAGAATGATCACCACCTAAGCTGACGAGTTCGTTCAAAATTTGGCAGTGACTGCATCGTCGAATGTCTGAACCAATTCGAAAGACAGCTTTACCAAACATGTTTTCTAAAATAATGACTCTCATCTTGCTGGGGTATAAGATCTGGAGTTTCTCGGCCAACATGCATTTGTCTCCTGCAATTAAAACCCCAATATAAGATTGTGCGTATTGTCTTATAAAGTAAACAAGAATACTTATATGTAACCAATCATACGGTGGTAGAAAAGTAAAGGCTTATGTAAGTTTATAGAGATTAAAGTATAGTAACCCAAATCCCAAAGTGTATGCCGTTTACAATATTGAAATATATTACCCAATGCTCACTAGCTGCCCATATTCCTTTTTCCAATTCTAAATCAATGTGTTTTTAGGGGAAAAAAAGTCATAAACATTTTGAAAACTCTCAACACAAACACTAATATAGGTTAACATATTGAAAAATCTCAACACATACTTTGGCTTTCCATGACTATCAACTTAAAAGTTACAGAGGTCAAAGAATTTAGATATAGGTACTTTGTTCAGGTTAATTGAATAAATGTAAACCCAATGCCCATCCATCAATCATAGATATGTTTACTACTGTCTCTGTGTCAAGCATCACTTTCACGATTGAACACATGCTTATCAACCTATTTTTATTTCGACTGAAAGTGTTTGAAGAAATCAAGCATTCCATAAGTTAATATGCTCCAACTACACAATTATGCCTTCAGAAATTTCACAACCAAAATAAAATTTTATCCATATAGATCTATTCACGGCATTCATAGGAATGACCCAAATCATTGGACTACAGATTTAAGTTTTCTGACAGCAACTGCTATTGCTGAAATAACCCAGAGTTAAACTTAACCTCTTGAAGAAGATAGTTTATTTTTTGGTCACAGAAACTAAAAACTTACAGGTAAGCTGCTTTCCTTTAAATTTTCCAATGACTCGGCAAGCTCTACTTGTTTTGATGCAGTAGCAATAAGTGCCTACAGAAAGGAAGAATGGTTTTAATCACAAAGTCCAAAAAAGACATCAATTGATTCCTGTGAGCTCCGTAAACTTCTGAATGACCAGAATAGTGCAAAAAGAAGGGTACGTACTCTTTTTGTCTTCTGTAAATCTTGCTCAATGGATTTAATGCGACTCAGTGATTCAAGAAGCATGTCTTCTTTCTCTGGAGGAATGTTTTTAGGTTTATTAAGTAGATCACCTACCAGTGCTTCTAAACGCTGCAGCCTCTCCCAGCATGGACGGAATGAGTCCTCCTCAACTGTCTGAGGAACATTTTGCTCTTGAGACATTGACTGTGGTATCTGAGATCTAGTCTGATTTTCTAATGGTTTATTTGCATGTTGCACCCTAAAAATTTTTCTCAATCCCGGAAGTAGAAGATATATACATGCTAACAAATAGAATATGAAGCAAACCACTAGACTTGTTACATGGGGAATGAACTTCTTTAATGGCCTTCTTGGATTATCTTCAATGACAAAATCATCTGTCAGAAGCAAAAAATTTGGTACATGTAAAATCTCGCCTATAGAAGCAAAAAAGAAATTACTAAATCCAATGGAGGAGTAAGCACCACAAAGGAAAGACACAAAAAAAAAAAAAAGGTATTGAATGTATAACTTATCCAATAATGTAAAGATAACAATCGCACTCTATTACAATTAATCTTATGGTAAAACCTTAATGATTCACATATCACTACTAAAGCAAAGTAAAAAATTTGTGGATTGATTTGAGCAAGAATACAAGCACAGAATTGCGAGCAAAAATGTACTGTCACATCGAGCACCAAGCAACATCAAACACTATATTATTATGTTTTTTTTTTTTTTTTCATTTCACACAGCTTATGACAAGCAGGCAAACTATCCTGGCAGACACAAGACTATCGAGCAGTAAAATCTTTTTATTTCCTGCATAAAGAGAAACCTCACTGACAGGCCAGCTTGAAGCCTGGCCAAAAAAAACCAAACATAAAACTGTAGGCTTCTATACCCTGATATGGTAGGGTATACAACCACTATTGGATGTAATAATTTTGTTTTGCTTTAACATGATCCTAATTGCTTCATTAACCACACCCAAAATTCCATTATAAATGTTAACCATAAATTGCATCATTTGAATAAACTAACGACATTCGCACAATATATGAATGTGTGAATAACCTACTTGTGGATCTAGCACCATCAGCTCCTGTGTCATCAACTGGTTCAACCACACTGCAGATGGAAGTAGGACCATTCATCCTTCCCTGAGAAATATGATGCTAAGTGAGAGTTAAAATAGTAATTATCTTTTCATAGCATACAAGATAAACTAGAAAATGCCATATATTGACATAGTCTATATGCTGATGAAAATAATCTATTTCGTGATCAACAAAGGAAAAGCACCAAAAAGAACATAATTTCTGTAATTTCAAAACTTCTGCAAAATATATTTTATGAAAATGGTTTCTGTTATATTGTCCAGATAACAGAAATCAATGAGACTTGCAGAATCCTTCAAACATTCTGTGTTCTATATTTCTTTTTTCTTGATCCAGTTAACAAGTAAAATAATTTTATAGTAAAAGGAAAGATAAGCCCCAAATATATGAAAAAAATATCTAGGTCAGAGTTAAACATTATGATAAAAAGCAGATATTGATAAGATAAAATGTATTTTTAAAGAGAATGCAGAAAGATTAAAAAAGAAAACCAGAATGGAAAAAAGAATACTATGTGCTCGAAACTAACTTTGTTATGAAATGGCACCAACTGTATGAAGCCTGAAGTATTTGGCCTTGAATCTACAGTTGAATCAATAGAAGATATTTCACTATTTGCAACCTGCATCAAGAAAGTAACATATTACAAAATGCAAGGTTAAGATAATGTAAGATAACCAGAGTAGATGACAAATCAACAACTCACCTTAGAGGTGAATAATTTGAGTTCTAAATCATCACCATCAGAAGAGCTAATTGTCTTCGTCAAGGACATAGCATGACTAGCATGCACCAGCTTCAAATAGAAGATGCACAATTTATAAGTTTTTCAGACATAAAAGAAAGAGAAATAATATATATCAATAATTTGTAATGAACTTCAACTATTTTTCTAATTTCAGCTTAGGGTCTTACTTTCAGAATTCCTGTATTATTCCAAGGTCCCTTGTCAGACCTAAGGCATCCACCTTCATTTGGACACGAGCAGGTTCCCCCAAGAAAATCTGGTAATTGGCTGTTTTCAAAGAAAATTTAAATAAAAAACGTGAGGAGCAACCCAGAAAAAGTTCGACAGTAATAACATATCACAGCAATGGCAATTAAAAAATCCCAACCTCGAGTCTATAATCTCCAACAGTTTATTACGGAACTTGTTGCCTAAAACCTGTAAGATTGGCACAGCCATCTCAGATTAATTCATACAATGTCCAGAATAAAAAACATACAAATAAAAATATTGCTTACATAAATCTTTGCAGTTGTTTTTGGGTCCAGAAAGGTTTTTGCTGTGTTCCATAGCAGTTTGAATCCATTGCCGGCATTAACAATGAACATCTGGTGTAATGTCTGTTGTGAATGAGAATGAACCAATGTAAGCAATAATAACGAAATTTATGGACCAATGTTTAGATGCTTTTCTTTATTTTAATAATAAAACTACCTCAGGATAGTTGTCACCATCAATTTTCTGTATGCGCATTACAAGATCATGTGCAACCTTGCCAAAACTCATCCAGTTCTGCATGATCAGTAAAAAATAAGAAACAATAACATTATAAGATGACTGACAGAACAGAAAAATAGACAGAAGTAGGCTTAGAAATTACCAATCCATGGACATCCAGTATGGTTATTGTAGTATCTATGTGCCTCTTGGCAGCAATAGAACATGCTGGGAACTTCTCGGCAAAAGTCTTCTCAAACCCCTGCACATGATATTTTAAAAACCTTTCCACTGTGGTGGCATTCATAAGCTTGCTAGGTTCAGCTTTGCCGAGTCTCTCAATATAAACAGGTCGACCATCTTTATCTACACCATGGTAACCATGAGGATAATAACGCTGGACTTCTTCAAATTCATCATAGACAAAATCCTAGAAAGGCATCACGTTGTTCAAGCCATCAAAAGAATATAAAAATTAAGATGGTAAATAAGAGCTTTGGACACAAATGATAGGCTAAGACAGAAATTTGAACAACCATCACTAAGTTTAAATCCGTGTGAGACTGCATAGATCAGTTGCCCGTTCTGAGTCCTTACATCAGCAAAGGCTTAGTATCCTGTATCCCTCAATTCATTATCCCATGATACATTCATTGTACTCTTGTAATGCGGTCCTGTTTATCAGGATTAAGAAAATGACGCCACAAGCACTGTTTACCTGTAAGATAGAATCAGCTCCAAACTCTTTCCTCCAGTTGAGCATGTCTGCCCACATCTGTACAGTTTTGTCAATGTCAAACTTCCTAGCCTTCAAGAATCTGCGGCAAGAAATCCCAGTTTTCTGCATTTTATTAGAATAGGATTAAAGAAACTAAGGAGCGAAATCTCAAAAGAAATAGCAACGAATTGAATGTTTATATAATCGACCATGGCTAAACGCTAAAAATGGACTAAATTTTCCCTTTCTTCGTCCATTGAATGAAGAGATTTAAATTAATTATTATAAAATTACATAAATATTACTAAGAGAAGACAATCAAATAGGAAAATCAGAATCCTGTATGCATTCTGATAACCCCATCAAAATCATTGCAAAAGTGAAAAAGCAATCGATCTGATCGTCTCATGTTCACAACTGGCTATTAAAAATTAACGATCAGAATACCTCAACATGGTGTGGTAATCATCGTGGCGAGGTGGAAGAAGGTCATTGGCAATCAATGTCTTGCGAAAAGCATTAACTGCCTTTTCCTCCTCTGCATCTCTCACATCTTCGATCGAAATCGAAGCGTATCGAGAATCAGAAACACGCTTGCCGCGTTTTCTGAGACTGTGTGTCAGTCTTGTTGATGCACTCATTGCTTTCTTCCTCAGATATCTGCTCCGACTTCTCCGTTTATCGTCCTCGGATGTCTCAACATCTACCCCGCCTTTAAACCTGTCACCTTCTTCAATAAAAATTACGTCTGCAAAACAGGAAGCATTTTGATCACAAATTAATAATAACTAAAAAGGAAAGGTTAGGTTCAGTTTATAAATGAATTTACCTTGCATTGCCGCTAATATTTAAAAAAATCAGAATTCAGATTGACTCTGCAGCAAATAAGGCAAGCAAATCAGAGAAATCTCCGCAACATAGTCGGTTATATAAAGAAAAAGAGATCCTAGATCTGGAAAAATCTCGGCCGGTAAAAGTCGTAGTTTATACAAAACGACGAAATTTGTCCAAAACTCTTCATGCAAATTAGTAGAAAACGACACGATTTCGCATAATTGGCGAAGAACAGTAAAAAATCAATCAGAAATAAAACAACAAACACGATCGAAACAGCCTTCAATCATCAACCAAATCATTATACCTTTGGATCAACCAACATTCACGCGATCCAGCTCTTCAGCTTCACGATTAAAATGCTGTATACGTATGTTCTTATATTCTTATAAAGAAGTTGCTTTCAAACGACGATCTCTGTGTGAAAAGAACTTTACAATAAAATAGTTATATTAATTTGTAACTGGAAGCAGGGAGGTAGCTTTCAGGTTGAGAAATGGTGAGAGTGAAAAGGAAAGAAAGCGTGAAAGGGGCGCATTGTCTTGCCCATCAAGTGGGGAGGTCCGTCAGGAGTTATAGATGACGGCGGCAGTTTGAGTTGTTTGTTTGTTGCTCTGTTTTTTTTTTTTTTTTTTTTCAGGCGGGTTTTGGAATCTAAAGCTGCCGTTTTGTAACGGATCACATCATAGAGGTAAAGACTAAAGACCAAAGAGGGTAATAGCTTATTAGGTGGTGGCGTACGCAATCAAATAACGAACCCAAATTTGTTTTTTTTTAGTACTTCATCCTTCATCTCCAGTCAAATCTTTTACATTTATTTCCGAAAATTGTTATTTATTTATTAAATTAAAAAAATTGATGGTGATCAACATGTTTGTGAGTCAACTATGCCTACTGTGAAATTTGTTTTCTTTTATTAGGCTGTCTCAATATATTTATTCATTCATAGATAAGAAATCAACCCATGATTATCAACATTTAATTAAAAAAATTCCATATTTTAATTATGTAAAATTTGAAAATAGAAAAAAAAAAAAATCAAATTTATCATAAAACAATTTTAAAATTCTTAAAACTTCTCTCATGATAAAAGTCAAAGGTTTGGTTCTACAACTTCTTACTCAAACCATTCATTTTTGGGTATGAAATTTATTCAATAAATATATATAAAACAAAAAATTAAGCTATGCCGTTGAAAGGTACATGTGAAACAACTGAATATAGTAGAAAAATTAAATTAAAAAAGTTTATCATATTTCAAAAGAAAATTAATAAATGACTATCACCTATTAAAACTATTATTAACAAATGAGATGTAGGGTGTAGCAATATTCTTTGAGCATTAAAAGAGTGATTAAACACCGACCGGTGGAGTTGTGGCATGTGGAAGCGGGGACATGAGTTGGTGATACTTTTTAGTAATGGTGTAAAGAGGGCGAGCACGTGCGTTTTTAAAAGAGCATAGTAGTTATGTGGGGTAGGAAGGTGGCTGTAGGTGTAATGTAATATCATGGCGTGCTTCACTAAGGATGGAAAACACGTTAACGGTAGCATAGCAATACAATACTGTTAGTAACTGACAACAACAACAACAAATCATATTTACCATTATTACTAATACTAGTGTTTATTTATCTTAATCTTATCATAATCACTATTACTATTATTATTTTTTTTTTTATAAAAGATGTCCAAACTAGTTTATGTATACTTCAATTAATTTTTCAAGATCTTACAATTATTAATTAGATAAGAGTTTTCGCTGAATTAATTTAGTTGGAATACGTAAATGTTACACTTGTGGTGAAAGAAATAGTAAACTGGTCAACTAAACCGAGGATTCAGCATCTAGAAACATTGGTTCATGGTTAAGGCAGAAGTCAAAATTTTGTTATTAATGCTTCCTCAACAACAAAGCATCATACTTCAATCTGGATTGGTTAATCATAAATTATAATATCATGATACTAATTTATATAAATGGTACTCAATTAGTTAAATACTTCAATCAATAATTATCGCATTTATTTTGTATAGATATTTCATATTTGAACTAATAATGGCATCCATTTTCTGCCGTTACTCCATAACCCTCACCAACACAACCATACAAGACTTAATGATGGTTTGTGCTTGTTAATAGCTAAATCAACAAAAATGTGGGACCCGTGATTTGAAACCGTGACCTACACCACCTTCCTCTTCAACCTATTTTAAATTATATTTTAATTTTTCCAAAATCATGAGTTCCAGATACAGTGATAAAAAGATTTAAAAACAAAAAAAAGTAATATCATAATTTTGAAAAATTAAACAAAAAGATTTTGTTACATTTTACAACAGACATAAAATTACAACAGCTGATTGCAGTGGACTTTACAAAGTTTTAGTACAATTTCCTTACTGTTATCACCACGACAATACGCAAAGATTACTACACTGGATTTAGGAACTTTCATGGGCCTCCGAAGGCACACTTCGACAGCGTCTTTTCTTCAAGTTCAAGCTCACCTGAGAAATCAGCAACTATCAATTTCAACACCAAATATGATGTCAATAAAGCCTCATATTCCCTGAAATTGGTTATGATTATCATATAACTTCAGTAGGCATAGTTAGATTGACGGCTAAAAAATTTCTTTCAAGGCAAATACCATTCTAATTTAAGCGCTCCAATAATACAAAGATAGTTTCTGGTGAGTCAGGACTAAATTCGAATTCAGTTTTTATGCAGATAATAAAAACTTTTGTCTTGTATAAATCCTATTCTATCTTTCAACTGACCACATCCCTGTTAAATCACTTGCAATTACATGATCTTTAAGCACTTCATTTTGCATCAATAAGGGCAGAAAGTTAAATAAAGTTACTACTCCATACCTGGTGCATTCATTAGTATTGACAAGATAGGTCTATGTCAGATTTCACAAGAACATGATAAGCATGTAAGGTAATCATAAACATGCAAATAGTGATCAAGTGAGACTCCTGCAATGTACCTTTGATTTAGAAGATGAAGGAGGCAATGAAGCCTGTCGCATAGGCTGCTGCATCTGTCCCAGCTGATTCATTATCTCCTCCACCAGCTTCAATTGGGCATTTATAATTTCCCAATGATCTGCAGAGATAGTCAACTTCTCTTTTCCTTCTTGCACTTTTCTTAGCCTTTCTCTGAGAAATTCAACTTCAATGTCAATTTTTGACTTTTCAACACTGAATGCAGATGAAAAATTCCTATCTGGGTCAGGAGGCAAGAGTTTGCTTCGTGAATTACCCAACACTGTGATCCCATCTTTCATTTCAAAACTACTATGATTAAACTGGTTGGTTTCTGCAACTCTTGAACTTGTACAATCACTCAACATCTCACTGTTTGAGCCCCCAGAATCAGTAGCCACATAATTCGATAGTCCGTCTTCTTTTCCATTTTCCTCCATTTGAAGCTCAGTTTTATCGTCAACGACGTGGACATCATAAACAATTGGCTCTGCATCAAGCTTCGGACATTGCAGATTACCACATACTTCGGTTCCATCTTCCTCAACTTTCTCAAGTTTTTGTCCACAACATGAAAGAATTTTCTTTTGGCAAATTTGGGCAGCCTCAGATGTCATCTCAGCAGATGAAGCTTCATAATTTGAAGACCAATTTGCGGCCTTTTCAACTTTGTTCTTATCAAATGATTTACCTTTCTCAAACTCCAGCAGATCCTCATTCGAATCAAGTGAACGTAAAGGCTTTTGTCCCCATTCACTGGTCAAATGACTAAAATCAACTTCTGACTGCCCATTTCCTAAAGATCTCATCTGTCGATATGCTTCAACTTCTTTCTCCAGAAAATGATTCTCCCTCTCCCGCCTAACAAGGATATCTTTCATTATGTTCATCTCTTCTTCCTCATATTCACATTTTTCTTCTATCATCCTCTGATACTGTCTGGCTTCCATTTCTATTGATGCCCTGTCAGCTTGAAGACGCAGAATCATGGCCATGGCTTCATCTGCAGCAGTTGCAGCAGCGGCTCTCTCTTTCTCCAACTCTAATTGAAGAGCCATACAAGCAGCTTTCTCTTCTTCAAGTGCTTCTTTCAATATTCTGATCATATTTTCTTCATTTCCAGCATTCTTGGACTTGCCTTGAGCAGTGCATATGAACTTTTCAACAGTTGATGAATCATTGTCCTTGACTTTATTGTTCCCAAATGATACACCTTGTTCAAAATTATGCCATGTTCTCTCACCCAGATCAAGGCCAATTGCAGCATTCCCATCATCTATATAACATGACCACAAACGATAGTATTCATATTAATGCAACATTTGACATGGAGAATAACATAAGAGAAAATTTTCAAACTTAAAAAAGAGATTCCAACATTAAGTTCTCTTTTCAACCCCGAACATATTGAGATTTCAACGTTTTAGCAAAATTTCCAAATATTTGACAAACTTCAGATAATATTTCTCTTCCATAAAAAATGAAATATGCATTCAAATTCTTTGACAAGTAATTTTAACACGTAAGTAACTTACATTTTGGCTGAAAGTTAGACAAAATATAAATAAAACACAATTAGGTACCTTTATTACTCACCTTGAAGAACATCTTCTTTTCCATAAAAACGACTCGAGCAATCACCAATTTGACTTCTGATATCACTCCCATTATAAGGAGCATCGGAACTACCTGCAACAACTACTCGTGCAGAAGATTTCCCATACCCAAGAGAAGATCTTCTCCTACGACGAATTCCATGCTTTTGCCTCTGGTTCACAATTTTCTTCCCCTTAGCATCAAACCCACTTTCTCTATCAACCAAATTTTGCAATTTTGGACTTGAAAACGAACTTGAAGACGCTTCATTCTCCAATTCCAGAACCCCATTATCATAATTTCTATCTGTAGACCACATCATTTCCAAATTGCAAGGTTGATCCTCAAACCAAATCAAATCAAAAGGAAATTTACTCTTGATCAACATTTGAACATAAAATATCTTTCTCACTGGCCAATCAATTAGCAATCTATGCAAACATATATTGCTGTTCTGGTACCCAAAAAACCCAGTACAGGGACAAAGCAAGTCGAGTCCAAAAAGATTACAGAATTTCGAAGCAAAAAATGCAAAAGCTGACCCACATAACAAGAAATAAGCAAGACCAAGGTCAATAAAAGCTCCAACAAGACCCCAAAACGTCCATGAGCGAGTTCTGCGAAAAGCCATTATGCTTTGAAAAGCTCAATATCCCAGCTATTCTTTGGAATTATAAGAAGCAATGGGGTTTGACAAACGAAAACCACCAAGAACATACGCAGTTGATACTGATTTAGATACAAGGAATCGAATATGGGCACAAAACCCACCATGAGACAGACTATATTAGCGCGGAAATCTTATCGAAACGGTGCATGAAGAACCCAAAAAAGAAACATAAAATTTAAAAACACGAGATCTTCTAGAGAAAAGAAAGCGGAACCTGAGGATCATAGTCTGAACATCACATCTACAACCAAAAGTTGACAATCAAATGGAGATCAAAAAACTTATCTAGAAAGCCAGCTGAAAAATGCACAGTTGGACATGGAAGGATCAGACAGAGAATCAAAAGTAGTTTACTTTAGTAGCTTAAAATTGAACCGCCATCAAAAGTATTTTATATGTAATTATTTTCTCACGTGGACAGAAATTATGTGACGCACTAAGGCAACTTCCTGGGTGGCTTAAGAGTTAAGGATATAATCAAAACCATATGTTTCACGGCTTTAAAAGTAAAGTTAAGTGGGTAAGAACACAACAGTAGAACAGTTCAGTTGCTGATATTTGCCATTTCCCAAAACCCAACAGCCCTTCGGCGTGCCTTTCTAATTTACACTGCCTTTCGGTATGTCCCACTGCAGTGTCGTTTTGTCTCTGTTCTTATCAAGTTCTTTCTTTTTGACATTTTCTGATTTATTTGTATTTATTACCCAATGCTTCATGTCATCTTACTCCTGAAAATCTTCTACCTTTGGCATCTTGTTCTGTCATCTGTTGCTTGCACTACTTGAGTTCAAGGATTGCTAAAAGTAGATTGGGGAGTTGGGAGTTGGGACTACATACAAATAACAGTTACAAAAATTGCTAAATTAATGCAGTTGTATGTTAATGAGTGATCACAAGTTCACGTCGGTGGCCTTAAAAGTTTAAGAGCTTTCTATTTCAACACCTATTTGATATACTATAATCAATTATTCAATAAACTTTGCTAGTTGAAATTGATATTGTCAGAAAATGCTGTTGTTAGTTGTTTGATAGGGCAATGGACCCATAGTGTTTTTTTTTTTTTTTTTTTTTTGGTAATCAGGGTATCCGAGTTAGTTTGTGCGTAACTTTAACTAATTTCTAGAGTCCATTAAACATTTTACAAGCTTAAAAGATCAGATAAGTCACGATAATATTATGGTGAATGACTCTAAGGTTTGAACCAAAAAACTCAAGAAATTGAACATACCTCCTTACCGTCATGTTAACCCTTTGGGTTCAATAGTATTATTGTTAATGGATAATGGAAATTAAGAACGCATGCATTAATGTTGAGATTAGTATGATATTAGTTAATCTGAATGAAACTTTGAACAATTCAACATTATGTAATCATGAGATTCTTTTCTAGGGAAATATTAGTAAAGCACATTGAAATTATGCACTACTCGAAATTTTATAGTATTATTGAGTGGATTAATTAATTTAATATTTTGTTTGGTAGAGGTTGAGACCGACTTTTGATTTAGAAAATATATATTTTTGTTAAAAGGATTAAATAAGTTCACATAAATTACCATGTAAATTTTGTTGATATTTCTCTAAATTTAGGGTATTTATAGATAATAAATTATAATGCAATCGGCCGTGCATGCTCTTGATGAATGATAACAAAGAATAATCAAATATTATTAGCTTAAAAACGAGATTACTTATTCGTGAATACTTGTCTATATCTATATAATTTATCAAACCTTCAGTAGTATCTGGCTCCTACATATTAAGAATATCCCTGTGATTCTAAAACCAAACCATTCACATCAAGCCTCATGGACCCAGAGCTTCTGGTTATCACTTCATCTTTGAGTTGCTTAACAACAATTCCCAAGTTTCAAACCAACTGAAACCAGCGCTGGTTGAGTCTATTTTCTGGCTCTGGCATCTGCTAATTCAGTACATTTACCCACAAACTTCGATAATGACTTCACTAGCAGTTTTGGCACTGGGTTATCCTTAAACTCGCTGAAACCAACACCCAAGTCCTTCAATTTTCCACCTTTGAAGCACAGGACAAGCTTTTCTTCTTCCAATGTTCCCTCGGAGAATAGCACAATCATTTTGGCTTCTCCATTCTTGAGAGCATTTTTTCATTGGTTAGTCTTTTAACTGTTTAATTTATCAAGGTTTGATTGTCTCTTGTTGAGTTTGAATAGAGTATTTATCAAGTGAGGTGCTCAAAAGATTGAAAGTTTAAAGTTGGGATTGGTGTTGTGCATCATGACTTAGAAGTGTCTGTGAATGCAATGCTTCTTCGCCTCGACAATTACTAAATCACATCATTGTCCCATAATTTGTTAGTATTCCAGTTGATAAGATATTTGTGTATCCAAATTGCAATCACCAATGAGGACTGAAATAAATAATGTTTTTTCATGATATGCTTGCTTTTGATTTATTCTCTAATTTAATACAAATTCAGTTTTTTACCTGGTTACTGCATTATATTGAAACATAAAAGTACATGCTGCATCTCATGTTATATCAGGAGGATTAAAAGCTTTAAACGTGAAGATGCTGGAAATTACGAGCCTGCAAATTCTAAAGATACCCCAAATGAGCAAGATAGTTTGGCTGAGATACTTGAAAATCAAAAAGTTGAAACCACTGGTTCAGGAACTTCATTTCTGGCAAAATTAGTGATTGCCTTGGGCATAGCTGCAACAATCACAATCATATCTGTTGTCCTAAAGCCCTCTGGTCCTGGATCATCTACTGGAATTCAATATCTGGCTGAAGGTTCATCGTCCTCTTCTGTTACGGCTTCCCCTACTGCTTTCAGTTTCAAAGCCTTTGGGTACAAATTTGTACTTCCAGAATATGCCCCAGGGTATGCTCCTAGTGTGCTCTCCACTCGGTAGATTTGTACTTTCTTTTACTCCTGTCTGTTTGTTTGAACACTTCTTTTTTTCCTACTACAATTTATTAGTGGAAAAATCTTTTATTTTGAGCTTACTTTGTATATTAGATATTGTGTTGCTAAAGCAAAGAGGCACAAAAACATGTACATTTTAAGCATGCAAGTGCTTTGATTTTTTTCATGGGAGTGGAAAGAAATGCTTAGATTGATTCTGAAGCTTCCCCTTACATTGCAGATGGATTTACTTTTGGTTGCTTATGGCTGCGGGATTTGGACTTTTCATTAGTGAAGAGGCTCTAAATATCTGGGTCTGTCCTTTTAACTGGTACTTCTGTTTCGCTAACTCGAGTTTTTTGCTTTAGATCTTGCTTTGGGCTTTGTTTGACTCAGAGAATTTAAGATAGTCCTTTTGTAATTTTACCATTTGGTTGATAGTCCTTTTGTAATTTTACCATTTGGTTGAACTTAATAGTCTATGTTACTGATTGTAGGTTGGCATATCTTTGGCACGATTGCTGACTTTGGCTGGGACATGGCAATCATTTGTTGAATCTTTCTCCAGAAATTCCCCATACATTTTATCCACTGTTCTGTGGGTATACTGGTTAGTGCAGTCCCATCTTTTTATTCGTTTTTTTTTACATAAAAATGTTGCATATGATCTCTATTTCTTATCTGAAGGATTTACTTTTTATGAATCGTGAATAAAATGAATAGATCCTTTTCAAGCAAATGAGAGCATGTTCAAATCAAGGTTTTTATATGGTTTTTGAGGCTTTACACCTGAAGGTTGAAGGTGAGGCCAAAAGAAAACAACTTAAATCACAACCTTAAGGGGCTTGAGAAACATAAGGCTGGCATGGCATGTCGATGAACCGTAGTTAGTCATTAATATATGTCTGATATAGAGTGACACTATACATACAAAGTGATTTGGCATAATTGTTATATTGCCAAGTCATTCAACCTCACATCACTTTGTCAGTTTAGTATTAGTCGTATGATATATTGCTCTTGGTATATAACAATGAGCATTGATTATGGGTTTTTACTTTTTTCTGTTTGGCACTGTGCTTTGAATTTATAAAATGTTAAATTAATAGTTCCTTTGTAACATGCAAACTTGAACCTTCAGGGGAGTTTGCATAAGTGATATGGTACCATTTTACTTCGGGAAGCTTTTCAGGCAAAGCGGGGCATCGGATGATATTTCCTCCAAGGTTTGTTCTGTTTCTTTTGCTGCATACATATTCTTCAGGGCTATTGAATCTGCAGCGATAGAATAGCCTATCAATTATTATCTCATATAGGTTGAATAAATTTTGTTTCAAGTAGTCTTATCTTCTGTGGTTGCAAGATAATAACTATGTGTTGCCTTAATGTGGATGATGACTAAAGTTAGGGATTGGTAAAGAGAAGGCATTGAGCATCACTCGTGCGGTGCAGAAATATGGAAATCTCATAGGCTTTGGTGAGTTTAAAGAGCTTGATTGCTAATTTTGCATGTGCCTCTTCAAACAGTTGCTGAAGTTCTGTTTTACTTTTGCTTGTATATCTAAAGATGCTTTGCGGACTAGATCTTAGTGGTCTGATTACCTTTTGTAAGTGTTATTGATCAATCATTAATAACCTTTTTTAGAATTGAGTTAAATATATTCTGAAAAAGTAGTTCGATCGGTTACCTTAATCATGCTTTCTAGTCCATTGTATATAGCTTGAAGTTGATAAACTGTGGCGTTATCTAAGGAAAGATAACTCTTGGTAACAGAATAAGTGTCTGTAACTTTTAACTCTGTTTCTCTCTCTATCAGCTTATCTATATGGAACTTCGTATTGAATTTATAGTTCCTTTCAGTACTTGCTGGATCATTTGATTGATACCTACATATATCCTGTGTGCATGGGCATTTTAAATTCAAGAGTTTGTTAAATTTTCTTATGGGTATGTGCATTATGATCTGCAGTAGAGCGATTATCTCTTGGAGTGAGGAATCCAACATCTTTTCTAGCTGGGACCCTGGTTAGTTATCATTTTTTCTTATTTTTATATTATGTTTTTTTGGGGCTAAAGATTAAGCGTATAATCTGTTGGGCCAAAGGCATTATTCAAAGGAGAATAGAATGTTTAAACTCCATCATCTTGGTGATCACAACTCAGAGGGTGTAATGTGGATGCAGGGAATATCTCCTGATTATTTCTTTGCTGGAGTTTGTTGTGGTGGCTTGATAACTCTTCCAATTCAGGTAAATCTACTTGTGCTGTTTTAGTACTCTCATTTAATTCTCAAATGATGATTGAACTAATTTACGTTTTACTTGTTTCTGTTGTGGTGGAGTTAAGTTGGGGATTGGATTTCTGATGAGGAAGCGCCCTGTTTTCGCCCTTGCAACAGTTGCAACAGTAGTGGTAAACAAAATTTCTTTTGATGATTTCCCATTAATTTTAATACAGCTATTTAATTTGTAAAAAATGAAACAGGGAATTTGGACCGTGTTTCCTTATGCGGTAGCTGCTTCCACTGCATTATTCCTTTACTTGCGACGCCGCAACTCTACATAGTCCTGCACACACTTATACAACTAAATAGTTCCTTAACTTAAATTGAGAATTACAAGGTATCTCATTCTTATATCTGGGTGGGGGTGGGGATGGTAGTTGCAATCATTTGTTGCATGACCATCCCTGCTCTCTTTTCTACCAACTTTTTACATTTATTTTAAAGGTGATTTTTATAATGTAATATGAAAGCAGTTCACATATTATAGCTTTACTCATGTAAAAGCTTGTATATAAGCCAATTGGGGATCAATGTGTGAAGCAAGGGCATCAGGTTTTGGTCACCAAAACCAAGGATGGTTTCAAAAACTTTGTATTTTTCGACTTAATTGACATTGGGGAGACAAAGTCAATCCTATCCTTTGAACTTGCAATTTTGGAGATAATTTTTAAACATGTATACATACTCGTTCAACCATTAACAAAATCGAAATCGATGATTGGAGGAAATAAGGGGGATGGTTCAACGGCCCCGGAAAGTGGGGACGGGTGGCCCCATGGCTTGAGGAGGTGGTGTGGCTTGTGCGGATGGGTTTGAATTTTATTTTTAATTTAAAAAAAAAAAAAAATTCTTATCTAAGTTTCTAACCAAAATAGACCAATTACCATACAGCCCTTCTTCCGTTATTTTTGTTTTGTAAGTTAAGGACTAAAACCATAACTCTTTCTTATCCCTCTTTTAAGACTGAACTCAAATAAAGAGAGGACCTCCACTGAATGTAATTGCCATCACTGTGTTAATACAATTTATATATTAAAATTATATAGAATCCATACATACTTTCACCTAATTTACTCTTTATCACCACCATGTGAACTCTTCTTTCAATAATTATAGCTCAACTCGTAAAAAAGAAAAAAAATAACACTCGTTCTTTCTTTACAAGATCTATTAGGGAGATTTATGAATGATAAATATAAATGAAAAATTGAAAATCAGCTACCATGTCCGTAAGCTGCTAGAAATGAGAGCTGCACGCTGTAGGCTTCTTTGAGTTGTGCCAGTACCTGGGCAATGGTTGGCCTCGTTGAAGCATCTCTCTCTACACATCGTATAGCTATTAAAGCTGCCATTTTCATGCTCTCCACATCAAAACTTCCCTGTAGGCTCTCGTCCACTATTTCAAATGCACCCGCCTGTAAATACGGCTTTGCCTGCATTTGAATTCATAGCACTTAACAATCTGCACTCTCTCTATTTATCTATCATATCTACTTTATATTTTATTGTCTAAATCTCAACCTCCATATTCAACATTATATAAAATCATAGTTGTACACTACTTAAAGGAAAAACTCAGCTTACCCATAACACCAAATTGAAGGAATCTGGAGTTCCAGAGTGACTCAATGGCTCTCGCCCACAAATGAGTTCTAAAAGAACAACTCCAAAACTGTAGACGTCACTTTTCTCTGTTAGCTGTTGGGTGGAGTAGTACCTACAAATGAATATGATAGTTAAATAGTGAAGTCATCAAGAATCAATTATTTTTAAAAAAAAATGATAATTATAAAAAAAGTCTTACTCAGGATCAAGATAACCAGCAGTGCCTTTGACGACCGTGGTTACATGAGTTGCATCTGCCTGAGTTACTTGCTTGGAGAGGCCAAAGTCACAGACCTTGGCATTCATATCTTTGTCCAACAGGATATTACTACACTTCACATCACGGTGTATGATCCGTGGCTCACTTCCATTGTGCAAATAGTCCAACCCTTCAGAAACATTGATATTCAAGAGTGAATTATTGATCATTTATTAAGATAGTTTAAAAAACTTGATCTGGCAAATCATGGTATTGTAAGTGCTGTAAAAACTTCATCCATAGTATGTAAGGAGTTAACCTATCCTCTTAAGTAAAGAAAGTTGGATTTCATGTTTCTTTTCTCAATAACTTTTGTACTTCTCTTAGGTATCCTTAGTTAACAAGGAGAAACAGATCACATACCCTTTGCGGCATCAACAGCAATTTTGAGTCTGCGAACCCAGCTTAATGAAATTTTTTTACTGTTTGGACCTAAGAGAAACATTGAATAACAAAATGGGAAATAAATTTTCAGAAAATGGCTAATCAGGCATAACAGGTAAACTTTCAGTTCATGGATAACATACCATAAAGGTGATCAGCCAATGATCCACAAGGAAGATATTCATAGACTAGTATTTGCTGCTTTGATTCATAACAGAACCCTTCCAAACATACAAGATTTTGATGGCGAATTTGTGACAACAGATACACCTATTAACAATCCAAGATGTAGCTAACATGAAGAAACTGTACAACATACATGCACACAGAATACACAAGATAAGGAGAAAAATAAATTTATAAGCATTAACATGTTTCATTCTTTAATACTAATCCATTAAAAAAAAATTGACCATAGAGAATCCACAAAGCTCTGCATGACCTCATAGCTAAACGAAATATAATGAGAGAGGAATCTAGAATAAACCTCGTTAATAAAAGAATCAGCACCAAGTTGAGTCCTGTCAAACCGCACTTTCACAGCAACTACTTTGCCATCTGCAAGCTTTCCAAGGTAAACAGATCCAAAACTACCACGGCCTAAAACCTCCTTGAAGTTGTTTGTGGCTGCTTTAATTTCTTTGTAAGAGAAGACCTTTGCTGCATTCCAGTTCCGCATATCTGTTGCTGCCCCTTTATATCGAAAATAATGTTAAAAAATACAATGAAGTAACAAATTAACTTAGATGATAATAACACTGCGATGTTATACATACTCTCTGTATATGGGACATCAGTTGCTCTTTTCCTTGCATACAGGTATACCAAAAGAGTGACGAAGAATACAGCAAGTAAGGCTCCTCCAGATGCACCAAGTATTATTGCTATATGATTATGCTTACTGCGCTTCTCTTTGGTAACAATAGTAACTTGTGGTGTTTCAATTGAAGGATTTGATGAAACATCATCGCATGTCATTGTGGAGAAGGAAAGGCACAAATTCCCTGATGTTCTGCACAAATTAAGTTGATGTATAAGGATGCTAAAATATGATTGATGAACAACGTTGTTCTCAGTTCCATACCTAATTTCCAATCTGTCTCTTTTCAGAGAGTCCGGGAGGCTACCCTCTAGTTTATTGTTTTCAACATTCCTGAAGAAGTCAGAAGAGGGATTTTCAGCCAGTGAGACACTCACATTGTATTTATGAACTAATCATCATTGGTTGATCCAGTATTTATAAGCTCGCTTACAATAGATGTAGGTCATCCAACTCTCCCCAGATGTCGGGAACTGTTCCCTGTAAACTATTATTTTGCAAGTCCCTTCACGTAGAAGAATATTAAAATGCAAATTAGTACCGACCTTTGGGTCAACACCAGACCTAGAATATAATTTATGTGAATCATATTCATACTAACATTTAACAATGCAAAACCGTATTCAGTCATTGGACAAAAAGCAGAACTTTGAAAATGGAATTTGGCTCTACATGTGGAAAAGGGAACTTACAGAACTTGAAGGCTAGCCAAGTTCCCCAAAGTGGAACCAAAGGAAGTTAGTTTGTTGAAGCTCAAGTTCCTGAAAATTTCAGTTGGAAAATAGTTAGCTTGCTATCCAATTTTGAAAATATTTGGGCCATAAATTAAAAAATTTGGGGCGTTACAGTCTCTCAAGATTTTGCAGGCTGTCCAAATTCTGTATCTCTCCTGTTAGTGATGTGTTATGCAAATCCCTGTGGTGAAAACCGCCTGACATAAGTATTTCAAATGATAAATAAAAAGTAAAATCAATTAGTGTCTCACGCAGTTAAAGAGTTTACAATGCTTTAAGATCCAATAAGTCTGCAAATGTTGGACTAATCGATCTCAAGTTGATGCCTGAAAGCCCCCTAAGAGGAAATTTGAAGTATGTGTTAGTAAATCTCTGAGGAAAAGGATGGATTCAAGATACACAAATCGAGGAACCGAGGCTTTATTATTTGTTATGCACATACAGTGATGTAACTAGACTCCCTTCACATCCGATGTGATCCCATGATTTGGGAGAGCACGGGTCGTCCTCCCATTCCACATCTAAACCAGTAGATTGTTGAATCACTTGAAGTGCTGAAACTGCAAGTAGATGTTTAGGCCAAGGGCAAAAGCAATATCAAGTTATGTCTGCCGAGAAGGAAAAAAGTATCAAGCACGCACAACCAAAAGGAAATAGCACCTGTGGTTGAGGAAACTTCTAATGGAATACCAACAATTTCATACACCTCAATTGCATTGACTAGCGGGTAGAAGCTGATTCTCTTAATTGTAATGTTCAAAGTTTTTATTGCCTTCCAATTAAAATATAGAGCACCAGCTTCTGAGCTTCTCACTGTGTAGTTTGATTCTGCAACATCTCCATTAATTAATACATTAAATGTAGGCGACACAGGAATAATCCCAGCAAAATAGAGGACAATGAAGTAGTCTCCTAGTGTATCCAGAGTAAAGTTGTAAGTCAAGACATCTCTTCGAGCCAGAACTCTTGCAGTTTGAAGAACAGCCACCGGGGGACTCTCCTGAATACTTGAAAAACTGAAGCTTGCTTGGGTGTTGAAGCCGGTTGACACATGAAATGGCACAAAGTTTTTATCAGCATCCCATATCCGATCATATGGATCCAAAGGATACCTGTTTCAACACAAAAAGATCACAGAAGCTTCCACAATTTTTTTAGGTAACATATGTGAAATGCATCACTAAAATTCTTACCTTACTGAACCATTGGTGTAACCACAATCAATGCGATAACTCTTCCTAAGCAACTTATTTGGAAAATCTCCTAGGCCAATTTTATAAGCACCTTGAGGAAGTGGCCGAATTTCAAGGGAAGATATAACAGGATTTCCACCATTTGAAATGCGGTGCAAACAAAACGAGAGTGCGTCCTTATTAACAGGCCATAAAAACTCTTCAGTCCAGGGATCATTAGTGGCAAGATCTACTGTGACAGTGGTAGCTGTCCCAAGAGAGACAGAAAATGATGGGGGTTTATTTAGTCCATCATAGTTCTTGTAGACAAATCGGGATCTAACGAGAACCAATGATGAAACATTCTTGACTGGTAGCTTATAACATGAGCGACCTCGAGAAT